CTCGCTATTTGACTCACCCTCACAGGAAAACAAACGACGTCCGTTACCGGACAGGTGAGCTTTCTGTCCATTCAAGTTCACTCATCTATTCTATTTTCCTCGGTAGTTACCGACAACTGACGCAATGGCTTTGAGATACTAATTCCCGAGCTGGCTCGCTGAAAACACTTGTGCTTGCTGGAAGTGACTAACGAAATCGAATCGAGCTGGGTGTTCTCTCAAATCAGTCTTATCCATTTCTCCGGCTGGGGCAGCTGGACCTGCACTCCGAAAATCTCACAGTGTTGCGACTTTATCCCGAACTCCTCCTTCGCCTTCATCGTCTGCACGTTTGTGGTGTCTGTGCCTCATGGGCTTCCGTATTCTCCTATGCATCCCTGCCAGGGGGATGCAGATGAGGGAAAACACTTGGCTGCTCTGATTGGGCTATGCCCATGCTTGGAGTCAATAAGTCTGGACTTAAGCATGTGTAATGTGGTTCTCAAGGGGAATGTCCGGTCTGTCATGGCGGATAGCAAATTGGACAGCCTGTATCTGGGGATGAGTCCGAAGTTTGCCACTGCCCTGCTCGAGTGGTCCTTTCTTCCTGCGCTCACCACCTTTCGATTGTACAAATGAAAGCATCGAGCGTTCACTCAGTGAGGACTTTGTCAAACGTTTCTCGCCTGTGATATGCCATGCCCGGTCGTGCATCCCTCATATTCACAAGTGGACGCTGCGCCATACTAACAATTCGTTGAACCTCATTGGAAGTGCGGATTTGGAGGCCACAGTACTCGACTCCCGCGTGCTTGATATTGGCGTTCACTTCATAATACGGGAAACTGGAAACTCTCTGACGCGTTACGAAATTGCTTCGATGCCATCTAAGGGAGCCAAGTCCTTCAGCTCGACGTGCATTTCGAGGAATCCACATCTAGCGATGACGATGACAGTTCTCTTTATCGTGAAGATTGGATCAGTGCGGTCGAGTTGCTGCCAGAATTGGGCATGAACTGCCTCTGGCGATGCAGGGAATGTCCTTTTTCACAAACCCCACCGGGCATCCATCGCAGGTCGGGGAGACACGCGGTTCGAAGAGCTCTCGGTCAAATTGGTCCTCAACAGTGCAACTTTAGCGTCCAACCTCAGTCGTCTCCTCCACATGACTGAGATTTGCCACGACCATCGCCGTCACCCAGTGGTCGTGATGCCGTCACAATTCGTGATGCCGCTTTCGGAGGGAGAAATGAAGGCGTTGAGGAAGTGGGATGTGAAACTTCACAGCTCTGTAAAGCGCACGCTTCTCGAGGAAGACAATTCGGATATAGGCGAGGCGACGCAAACGAGGAAGAGGTTCAATTGTAAAATAACGATGGCGAGGAAGATTTGGTCGCACACGACATATGGCCATGGTTTACTTGTATGTCGGATGGATTTCTGTTCTGACAGATATAGCGGTCCGCCTGATAATTTCACCTTCATACCGCGCTTATGCGTCTGTTATCTTTTTTCGGAGGCAGTGCACTCATTATCGATTTTTGTTTGCCATTGCGAGTCCTGCCAGCAGCGCGTAAGAAATGAAGTCTAATTCTAAAACACTTGCTGAGGATTTGCGAAGATTATGTCGAGTTTGATAAAGTCCTTCTTACCATCGAGTGAGATGAGTTTTGTTGTCCATCGTGGACTGGCTTTGGTTCCGCGAACATTTCAATGAACCACTGCGGCATCGTCAGCGCAAGCGCCCGCCGAGATAGCGATCCTCGCAGTGGCGTGACCCGACGTTGGTCGACAGTCGCTCCAGGGCGCAGCTGCTGACCTTGTTCACCACCACCATTACCATGCTTCCCAGCCTTGTTTCTGCCAGGGCTCCTCATGCGTTCATTCTCCGAATTGGCAATGGTACCCTGCTCGACACGCTCAAGAACATCTTCATTGCTTATTTTCTCGTCAAGCGCACGCTCAAGATCTATCGCCACCTGTGCGCTCGCGGACTCTCACAGACACTTTATGATTTTTGGAGATGGGTTTCCCAGGTGCGTATTTGCTTAAGCAAAGCGTATACTTCCTGTCGATGCCGCCCAATAGGAAACACTGTTGCTCGCGCTTCACCTCCCTGCGGCCCGGAAAAGGGTCAATGCGGAGCTAATGAAAGGTCGCCTTCAAATCGAGAAGGGCTTGATACCCGAGGGCCCTTCGGTACGTCGACACCTTACGCTTCCGGAGCACGGACAGATGCCGCAGTGGATCACCGAAGAAATGGACCGGATGGATAGTGAGGCAAATACCCAAGCAGATTGGCGAGAGGGCAAGGTGTCTGGCGCTGTATACCGTACGTTGCTGAAGGCCTTCGCGTTGCGGCTCACTGACGTACAGCTGTCAGACGGTGGTGATGACCTTACTCGCGTCATCCTCGCCGCCATTGCGCGATATGCGCTGTCCAACCCACTGCATCCAGACGTCTTTCCTGCGGTGCGCAAGATGGAGGCCGAGATTGTTTCCATGTGTTTGAATATGTACAACAACCCGAACGGTGCAGGAACGACGACAAGTGGAGGGACTGAGTCGATCATCATGGCCGTCAAGACGTATCGCGACTGGGCACGCGCAGTTAAAGGGGTCACAGAACCCGAGATGTACGCTGCATGTGCCTCCGCGATGCACTCGTGAAGATCACTAAATCGCGGATTGTGAATGCAGGATCGTGCCAGTGACGGCGCATGCGGCGTTCGACAAGGGCGCAGCGTACATGAATATCAAGGTACATACCATCCCTGTCGATCCTGGTACGCGCAAGGTCGACCTCAAACACGTTGCGCGAGCTATGTACGTTATACAAATTTCTTCCCGACGTGTCCTTGCTTATGACACTCTTGCAGCAATTCCAACACCATCATGGTGCGTTCCATTAACGAGTCCCCACGATATCCTTTCTGACTCAGGTTCTTGCAGCTCGTCGGTTCTGCGATCAATTTCCCTGATGGTAACATGGACGACATACCTGCACTCGGCGCTCTCGCCCAGCGGCACAAAATTGGACTGCACGTTGACTGTTGCCTGGGGAGCTTCATCATGCCCTTCCTCGAGGAGGCAAGCTTCGGACCCATACCGCTCTTTGACTTCCGGGTACCCGGCGTGACAAGCATCAGCTGCGACACTCATAAGGTGTGCGGTTGCCATCGCACGTTGTGCACGGCCAGGGTAGTCGCTGATATCAAGTCCAGTATGGATTTGCACCGAAGGGTAACTCGGTGATCATGTACCGCGATGCAGAGTTGAGGCGTTATCAGTACTATGTCAACCCGGACTGGGTAGGTGGCGTATATGCTAGTCCGAGCATTGCAGGCTCCCGGTACGCTACTTGTCGAACAGAACTAGGCAAATGATTTAATGATCCTCATTCCTAGACCAGGAGCACTTATAGCAGGAACATGGGCAGCAATGAACTACATGGGGCGCGAGTATGTATCTTAAGTCCTTGTTCATCTTCAGTGCCACTCATGCGCCCACTCCTTCCTTCACCCATACAGCGGATACCTGACATCGTGCAAGTCCATTGTCGGTGCCGCACGCACCATCGCGCACCGCATTCGCACCGAGATACCTGAGTTACGGGTGTTAGGCGACCCACCTGCATCCGTAGTGGCTTTTGCGTCTGCAGACGAGAAGGCTTTGAACGTGCACGAGGTCGGCGACAAGATGGCAAAGAAGGGTTGGCATTTGAATGCGCTGACTGGTCCGCCAGCGCTCCACATCGCGGTGACGGTGCGTCTCGCCTATGCTAACACACGGATGTCGCTTGTGGCTCATTAGCTCCTCTCACATCTCTTGCATAATGTTTTCGATGTTGGTCGTTTGGAACTTATCAATACGCGGTCGCACAGCGCTTGACTGTCCCGATTGTCGATCAGTTCATCGCGGACTTGAAGGATGCCGTTCGGGACGCGAAGCTCGAACCATCTGGAAAGGGGACGATGGTCGTGCTTTACGGTACGCGCAGCGTCTCGTCTCGTACGTTGCACGTTGATAACGCTCAATCTGTTGATCCGCAGGTCTCGGAACGTCGAGCCCGGTGGGCCCGACGATGGTCGGGCATCTCGCAACGGCGTTCTTGGATACGCTGTACAAGGCATAGTTTCCGAGGTGCCGCCGGTCGTATCTCACCATCCAAACTTCGCTTCGCTGCTGCCATATGGAGGCGTGCAATCATGTACCGGCCTAGACTATCGTTATTGTACATCCCATTATCGATGACCTGGGCTACTCTGGAGCATTGGGATGGACTGTTCATGGGCATGCTATGCCATGTCAGCGTTTGATGAGAATCAGTTTGGCTTGGTCAGTGCAGTGTTCGAAAGATGCTGCCGTACAAGAAAAATCTACCACCCCGTCGATAAGGGTGGTATGCGTGATACGGGGCAACATGTGTGCTGCTTCAATCGCTCGAGAGCCTGCGCTGATCTAGGACAGTATGCTTGACTGCTAATTTCCATACGAGGCGGTGGATAGAATGCCATGGAACACACATATCATGTAGAAAGATTAGGGAGTGAAGTCGTCCGACGAAGCTACGCAATAGTCAGCGCAACGGAGCATACATAAACGGAATGAGTCGATCTGCGCTCTGCGTAAATATAGGACGCGTCTTGCGTAAAGACACACGGTAAAAGTTGATCTAGAAATCCCCGGAGTAGTAATCTGCGGATAAAAATACGCTACCGCACGGTACCCGGCCACACGTATCGCTGCGAGATATCGCGCCTGTTACGAAGCGTCTTGGTTCCTGAATACCGTCCCCTATTTCAGACACACGATTGCGACGCTATGGGATGATCAACGGAGCGAGGTCTGAGGTCTGATTCGCAGGATGAAGTCTGTTAGTCAGTTCCTGTGTAAAAATATCACGCCGCCTTGGCAGAGTCCCATCGGTTAGAGAGTGCACAGGATAACGGCTAGGAATCCTTACTCGGCATCGTACCAACCCTCTTGACCCGTCCGACAAGTGTCTGTGGCCGGTCGGCGTACGTAGATTATTCCTTACTCGGCATCCTAACCTTCTCAGCCTGCCAAATACGTGCCAGTGGCCGGTCGGCATGCGTGGATTATGGAGCGTGTCTCCGGGTCCGAGGAATCATCGATATCGCCCGGCAGGAGGTTGATAACACGTTGAGGGCGCGGCGCACTTTGTTGCGCGCCATATGCACAGACGTGTCCCCTGGCTTCGCACACGCGGAGATCGCGACACGCAGCAGAGATAGGCGGGCCTGGACGACGTACGATGGGCTGTGGGCATTTGTGTCCGAGTCTACGGAGAGCTGGCCCCTAGGCTATTTCGAGCGGGAGCATTAATCCGTGCCCGCCAGAAGTCCCCTGGAATGCAAGAAGGTGCACAGTATCAGCGACAAGCGAGCGGCAGATATTGCATGTCAGCATGGAGGACCTTAACGACGCACACCACCGTTGCACTGCACCGTTATCTAGACTCGCTACTGCAAAATGGTTCAACATACCGCATGGGCGCTTTCCGCTGCATCTGCCAGGTTGTCGAATATCTCCGGTCGTTGCAGCAGAGCGCGAAAAGCATCCGATCAATCCTAAGAAGATCAGAGACGGAGATGCCTGCCTTCGTCACAGCCTTGCTCTAATCCCTGATCATCACGGAGCGGCATGCCGCTGCCTCGCACAATGCAATGTTCGCGGCCGTCGAACCAGGTGAGTTCGAACCTCATCACGGCCATCTCGTATGCCGGAACCTTCCACTTTTCCATCTTGATCGCATCCAAGTGGACCATCACACGTGGGTCACCGCACAAAGGCAGTATTGGGAAGCTACGCGTAGACCCGCATAGAAATGTGGTCAGCTACATCGAGCATAATTTGCAATCGCAGATATGGGACGTCCAGAATCAATCGCTCAAAGTGGCCCGAACGGTAAGACATATGAGGTCATCTTCATCAACGTCGTGATGCAGCCTGCCCATAAGCAGCCCGCTAGCTCGATAGCCTAACCACGTTGCTTCAAGCCAGACCAGCCTGAGAAGCAGCGCCCAAGGTACGCCCTTATCGTGCGGCAGCCATCACGCACACCGCTCGCGCGGACGTTGTCCGGCGGTGATGGGACACCCGCATGTGCAGCAGAAATCTTTTGGGGTTCCCTGTCCTAGGTTATCATGCACCGAGCCGTTCGCAGCGGAAAAACGTCCGTTTTACCGTTATGGCACAACAGAATCCGGTCGGTGCGAAAATAATATCGCGCACGCATCATGCAAGGCAGGATATACACGCAGTCAACGTCAACCCAAGCCAAGCACACAATGCGCAGTGAGAGACGCACTTCATTATCGATCGGATAAACAGCGCGAACATGCGTTGAGAGAAAAAAGAGACTTTAGGTGAGATGACCGTGCGAGTCCGGTGTGCGGGATTCCCTGGCAAGGTATGACGTCCGGCCGCCGGCAGGATGCAAGAGCCCTTCCTCGAGTCGCCAAGGCAATCGTTAGTGCAAAGTGTCTCACCGCTGAACATACGCACGCCCGACCAGTATACGTACGTACGTACGAACGTGCTGCGCCGCGTTCTCAGGGGAGCCTGTCATAAATGATGCTGGGATGCCGCATATGCACCTTGATAGTGGCCTTCCCATGGAAAAGCGCCAGCACACGATGGCAGAGATGAATATGTTCGTGACGCCCAAAGTGCAGCCGAAAAAATCCTTCATGGCTGTGCGTGTCGACAGGAAAGGGGTACCGTAGACGGCGGCTACGCACAGGTAGACAGCGATAGCCATGCGTGTCGAGGCAAACCAGGAACAGAGTGAAGCCGGCCGCATGATGCCGCAGTCTCCTATTCGAGGAACATGGAGGCAGATTTGGTCTCTGCTGCGAAGCAGAAGAAGCGCACCGAAGCACACCCGCGTCATCGCAACTCCATATATGCACATACCGTACCCATGAGAACACTGCGAAGACGCGACAAAACGGGTAACTCGCCGACGCGAAACAGCCAGGGGTTCTCAGGTTGCAGGTGAACTGGAACAGCAGTTGACGTGCTAGTGGTGCCAGGTGCGAAGACGCCGTCTTCCACCACGAAGAGGAAGCCCACCGAATCGAGAGGCGACATGCCATATGTTGGCGTTGTCAATGCATCGAAGAGAGGGGCAACTGCAGCGTACATTCCTCATATGGCGCACCGACATAGCCCAGGGGTCACCGATCAACGATCAAGTTTACGCGAGCCAACGTCCGAGAATAACCCACCGCACGCAACGCAATACCGCCGCTCCGAGTCTGCACGCATGCGTCAACGTCCCCGACACAAACCGAGCGATCCAATGTCCATGAATAAACACGCACCTTCCACGCCGGCAACCTTGGCGCAGCCGTTTCTGCATAGCGCAAACTGCGGTGGACGCAACCCGCACCCACCCTCACGCCCTGAAGCCTTAAGACGTAATGCCAAACCGACTCTCCCGCCAAACGTGCCCGCATAACCTCCATATCGAACATCGAGAAAAAAAGGCCTGGCAATGCCCGCCGATGCAGTGCGGGAGAAGCACGACGCCGCTAACCTTCACATTTCAATTCGCATCGAGCAGGCTCAGCTGACGTCGCACATGTCCCATCGAAAAGCGCTCTGTTCCCCATGGCGGGTCAGACATGCACAAATCGACCGTCAGGAGGGTCATCCCTGCAAATTTATCATACATAGAAACGTATCCAAGACGTTCCGTTCCATTCATCGAAACATCCTGATCAACACCGAGTTCTTCAACGCACCCAACGTTCCACCCCAGAAGCACACCCTCCTCGCCGCCCATGTAGTCGTACCCTCACCCCTCGCCCTCCGTCTCCACCTCCTCGCACGCCCACATCACATTCTTGAGCCCAGGAATAACCCACCGCCGAACAGGGCATCGCGAGCGCCCACAAAATGAACCGCCCGCTTCTCGCACCCAATAACATTGTCCAGCCCACCTCTTCGCGCCTTCTTCGAACGCTCCATCTGACGTGATCTGCGCTCCAGTTCCCAGGTCGGTCGTCTCCATGAGCGTTCGAAGCATGTCTGCAGGCCGCGGCGCTAGCCGTACAATGAGCTGATTCTCGAGAAGACGCGTGAGCTTCGCCATTCAGCGTGAAGAGACGAACGAGCACGGCGAGTGACAGTAGCAGTGATAGTCCTGACCATTAGAGATAGAAGACACTGCGCAGGGCGAGAACACACGCGACGTCGTCGTCGTCGTCTTCGGAGATTGAGCTTATGAAACCCTATGACGCACACGGTCGCACGAAACGTGCCGTTAAGCTCGCCGACGCGCATACAGCCGCCCGCCAGAAGGCGCAGAGAAGCAGGAGAGACCGCGCGGCTGCAGCCTGGTGGCGTGTGGCTTCGCGGGTGTGAAAGGGAGGGAACGCGAGCGCTGGAACGTTCGATTCCGCGGGGCTGGCGAGCGGGTGCTGTGGACAGGTTCAGAGTGGCATGACTGGCAAAAATAGACCAGGATGGGGTGGTGTCGTGAAACCATAACGTCCTAGAGCCAGAACGTAGAGCCAGATTTTAGTTCTCAATGGAGAAGCGTATGGATGAAGCGTATGCTGCGCTTATTGTGTATGTGGCGTGTTGACAATGCAGAGAACTATGTAGGGCGCGTCAGAGTTTCGGAAATACAAGCATCCAGCCATCCCGGTATGTGGGCCGCAAAATAAGCCGTCCACCATACGTTGCCGCACTACGTAGCCAAGATCCAAGGACGCGAGACATGGGATAGCACAGGTCGCCCAATTTGATACATAGTCCAGCGGACGGCAGAGAACACGACGCGCCACGTCGCCGTTCCAGGGATATCGATGAGCTTCGGGACCTATACTTGCGCCTGGGAAGTGGGAATTGAATGCAAATTACAGGCATTGTGAGGACTGTATGCGGATTGCAGGTATCAAGCTACTTGGGGCCTAGAAGCAGTTGTCTTCATGGCAGAGTTCGGGGGTGGTCATTGCAGAGGAGTTCCCGAAATGCAGACGCAGCGGTTAGTGCCGCCCTATTATGCACACAGAGAGAGGGGGATTCCTGAGATAGTCGTACGCAGCGCATTGTTCCCGCCGTCCAGACCAGGTCCACGCGGGCGCGCACGCAAAGTTGACCCACACTATTCAGCGGGCGAACGAATGTGCCGAGGAGGCCCCGAGGGCTGCAAGTGTCATTCGCCGCTGCGAGGCGCGATGGGAACGCAGGGGACGCGATAGGCAGTGGAGGCAACGGGGGCGATATGAGGGGCTGCGCTTGGAAGGCAGCGTGGAAGGGCGAGTAAAGGTAATGGGCCCGGGGCCGGAGTTTTGCAGATACGGCCTGCGGCGGACGGAGAAGCGAAGCGAAGGCGAAGACGAAGAAGAAGACCTGATATGGAGTGGGTAGCGGTTGTGGGCTTCGTGGCGCAGCGTCAGGTTCTGGACGGGCGGTCTCGAGGCGACCGCGTATTTGTGACAATCGGAACGAACGAGACGTGGTGGTGGTCACCGCCGGGCCGCTGTACGCAGAACGTGACGCGAGCGGGACCGAGGGAGCTCACCGGAAATGAAACGCGTTCGAGAATCGAGTCGATAGCTGCATCGGAACATGAAAGTGACGTCGGTGGCAAAGCTTGTAGCTCGTGCGGGAGGTCAGACGACCGTCTTGCTGCTGGCCAGCTCGCTCTGCAGGGAGAGCACGGAGTCGGATGCGTTGAGGTCGCCGCAAAGGATCGGTGCGGAACGCCTCGGCAGTGGGCGGCAACGCCGGCGGCACGTGGGGACGAGGGCATCGCCGCCGGAATAGGCAGGAGGAGAAGATCCCGCTCCGAGGGTCGCCCCTCTTCCGCACGGATTCCGGCCCCGCCGACTCAGTCTGCTCCTGCAAAAAGAAAATCAAAATGGCGGCTTTCTTCCGGCTCATTCATTGTCCCCGTTCGACGCCGGTGTTATTTCTCTCTCCAGTCTGCTCCGTCTCTGCTGCAGTTTATCTCTCTCTCCGCGCGTGTACAACCTGCTCCTCCTCAAGCACCGCTCCTGCAGCAACCCTACTGCCTGCATCCGTTCTCCTTCCCCCAATCTCGCAGAAGCAATCAGCGCGTGTGGTGATCGCTCCCCCGTCTCTTCTGCCATCCTCTCCACCGCCGCTTCCCCTTCCCTGCTTCCACCCCTGCCTCGCCTTCTCTCAATCATACTCTCTCAATCGGACTGAACACAATCTCTAACCGAATCTACACCCAGATTCGTCCCCCGTCATGTCCTTCATCCTTACCAGGCCCCCGTCCCCGCCCGCGGACGTGCACCACCACTCTGACGAGGACCCCCTCGTCGCCGCTCTCAACAACGCATTCCAGTCCTTTACCGGCGGTGCATCCTCCAACCAACACTCCCGCGACGCGCAGCACGACGCAGACATGCACCGCGATAAAATCGCCCCGTCCCTCGACATCGTCGTCAACTCCGACACCCTCGTCCTCCGCGGCACTGGCGTTGACGTCGACCCCGCTCTGCTCTCTGGCAATGTTGTCCTCAACCTCACAGAGCCCACCTCCTTAAAAGAGATTGTCCTTCAATTCAGGGGCAAGGCCCGCCTCCCCGTCTCTGCCTCCGAGCCGTAAGTGCCTTCGTTCGCATCGCGTCCCCTCCGCATGCTGACTCTCCCTCCTCCCTCGCAGCCTCTCCCTCAGCTCCTCGCAGCTCACCTACCTCGTCTGCAACCATGAATGGTCTTTCCTCGAGGGCAACCGCTCACACTCGCACACCCTCAAGGCAGGCCGCCACCTCTTCCCCTTCCAGCTCCAAATCGGAGGCTCCCTCCCCTCCTCCATCTCCACCGCCGCCCTCGGTGGTGCCTCCGTCCAGTACAAACTCCGCGCGACAGCCGTGCGCCCTGGCTTCGGCCTCACGCACCGCGACCTCGCCGCTAACCTCCCGATCAACATCCTCCGCGGTTTCGGCGGCGAGGCGCTCGAGTACCAGCAGACGCTCGAGATCGAGAACACTTGGCCCGAGAAGCTCATGTACAGCATCATGCTCCCGCACAAGGCCTGGGCTGCTGGCGAGCGCGTCATCGCCGTCGTCAAGTTTTCGCCGCTCGTCAAGGGCGCGCGTGTCCTCAACGTCACCACCACCATCAACGAGACCGTCAAGCTCTACGCCCGCCAGGGTACCCAGGAGAGCACGCGCGTGATTAGCAGCACGCGTCACGATATCGTTGATGGCCAGGCGGTGTGCGTGGACGAGCAGCACCACCGGTACCACATACCGCTCTTCCATCACAGCTCGCACTCGCAAACGACGCGTCCGGGCTCGCTTGGGCAGTCTACACCCGCGAGCCCAGATACAGGCGCGAGCCACGCACATCACAGCCACACTGCGAGCGGCACGCATACTCCTGCAGGGAATTACTTCCCACCACCCCCGCCTACGACATCGCACCCGCCGTCGCCTCTTCACCATACATCCGAACTCACGCCGCTAATGACCACTACGACGAATTCATCTCAGTCATCTGGTGTCGGTTCGGGCCTGTCCCGCCCCATTTCTGCGCATGGCGCGGCGACACCGCTGACGGCCCTGTCACCGTCGAGCGCGAGCGACGAGAGCCTCCCTTCTGCTCCGTGTGCGATTTCGCCGCTGCCTGTCATGGACCCGTCAGAGATGGAGCTAATCGAGCCTGCCGTCGACGTCGTGTCCACGCTCAGCATCGCCGTTCCCCTGCACGCGACACCGAGCCATTCACTAGAGGTGTGTTCCTATTATAATTACTTGGAGCTTATTGCTGATCGTTTCATTCATTACAGCCAATCCAAGTTTCGCACCGCATACGCTGGTCAATCATGATCGGAAACCGCGACGGGCACACATCGGAACTGCGCTGCTCACTCCCGCTGCACATCCTCGATCACAAACTATACGACGAGGCGCGCGCCGCGACGCTGCACACGCGGCGGATCCTGCTCGGGCCACAGGACATCGAGGGCGGGCAGGCGGTCGGCACGCACGGCGAGGACCCAGAAGAGGACAACGACCTCCCGAGCTACCCCGCACACGTGCGCGACCGCGTCGCGAACGCATACATCTCCGACGCGGCGGCGTTGCGCGTCGTGAATCCCTGGGTGATGCAGGGCGTGAGCCCCACGCTGCCGCCGCCCGTGAGCGAGGGCTCCTCGGGCCTGCAGAGCCCCGCGGCGTTCGAGACGTGGCAGGTGAACGGCGCGAACGCGCATGCGGCGGGCCAGGGGAGGCATCATCTCCCGCAGGAGCCCGCGCCGGGCGCGACGGCGCCGCTTGAGTGGGTGAACACGGAGCTCCTGCTGAGTCTGAGCGGGGAGGCGCCGGAGGCGCCTGTGCACCCGCCTCCGCCGCGCGTGACGCCGCCGAATCGCACCCCGCCTGAGAGCTCGCCGCGTGCGAGCAGGCATGGGTCGCGGTACCCCAGCCGCGCGAATAGCCGGGCTGCGAGCCCGGAGAGGGGGCCGGTGGTGCTGAGCGCGGGCGGGGGCGTGCATGGTCCGCATGGGCATGGGGAGACGTACGTGCACAGTCATAGTACGGCGAGCCGGAACATGCATTCGCTTTTCAATATTGCGATGAAGCCGTTTACGAGCTTGGGGAGCACGTTCTCGCTTGGGTCGAGGAGTCCGAGTCATACGAACCTGGCGCACGGGAACGGGAACGGGACCGGGCATGGGCATGGGCATGGGCATTCGCATTCGCACTCGCATTCGGCGCAACATGGTGTAGTGCAGAGCGTGCCGCAGTCGCATGGGAGCTCGACCGCGCCGTCCGCGAGCGCGTCCTCGGTCAACCTCGCGAGCCTCGCGCACTCTCACTCTCACCCCCACCCACACCCCCACCCCCACCCACACGCGCACCCGCAGACGATGACGAGCCCGGAGCAGCTGCACTACGCGTTCACGGAGGTGCCGGACTACGACATGGCGAGCCGGGGGTTCCTTGGCGGGGGGATCACGCCGCTGTCGAGCTTGCGCGGGCTGCCGAGCTATGAGGAGGCGCGGGCGGAGCGCGAGGTGGGGGGTGTGGAGAGGAGTTTTAGTGATGCGAATTTGGTGGGGTGGTTTGCGGCGGGGCAGAGGGGGCAGCTGGTGCAGGGGCAGGCGCAGGTGTCGAGGACGGTGGCAAGTACACCGCCGACGGAGGCGGTGTCGGTGGCGGCGGCGGCGGCGGCTTCGCAGATGAGGTCGACGGTGTCGAGATCGAGTTTGGCGTTCACGACGGCGAATGGGTCATAGCCTGGCTATTTTCTTTCTGTGCTTCTACATTTTTCTGGTCTCGTGGTTCGGCGCATCTACGGTCTTCTATTCTGCTCTTTCTTTCCTTTTGTAACGCTCTCCTCGCACACGCATCCCAGCTCTTCTCTCTCGCATGGCAAACACACGAGCATATTATACATCCCCACATCCGTGTTGAATGAGTGTATTAATGTACAACAGAACTTACGACTACATAGACTAGACGACGACGATGCGACGACGATGACGACGAATACTCTGTATGATACGACTTGGCGGATGGACTTCCTCTGATAGTGGTTTGGTTTATGAATAGGTGTCCTTTCTCGAGTTGTATTGGGATTTAGCTTGTTTTCGTGTAGTGTCTGCAACAATAGATTGGATATGAACGGTGAATTCGAATGAATTTTGGTGGAGCGCGCGTGTTCAACTTGGTGTGATCAGAGTTCAAGCACGAGATGGACACGAGGGATGCACAGATGCATGGGAAGGAGTGCACTTATATAGGTAAGAGTCTCCGCTTCTTGACAGCGGTGACCTCGCTGCACTGATCTTCATCTCGTACCCTCACCACTGCACTGATCTGACACCCTTGAAGTAAACACTGTCCTTTGAATCAGACTTATCTCACTGCTGATGAACATGTCTTAGACACTGTCGACCTCATATATCAGTGGCAATCACAATCCGGCAAGTATCTAACACAACTCCAAACCAAGATACTGTCATGGCGGTATGTTCACATTTTTCAGCTTGCTCTGCTTTGCTGCTGACCCATCTCCGAGTCCAGAGACACAGTGATGCACAGGAGAAATTGATCACACAGATTCTGATTGCCATCTTTATATGTACCATCATATGTATCATTGCCATTACAGCCCACACTGTCCTTCTGTGGCAAGATTTGAACCATCAGTTACATCTTTTAAACCCAGAGAAATTTCCACTTCTTCCCTGGTACAAATTGATTTTTTGATGTAGTTGTATGAATGTACATTTCTTATACATTGTGGTCAAGTTCCTTCATGAGCTAGTAGCACATCAAAGAATGTCTATTTGGACAGCTCTTATCGTCACTGACTGAGTTGCCAAAAGAGAGCACAACACCGTCCTTCACGTTGATGTTGACGTCGCCATCTGCACGGACCGCGACTTTGATGCCGAGCGTACTGATGAACGTATATGTGAGTGATGTCATTGTTTCTGTCAGTGTACAAATCCTTAATGACTGATGAAGGAGCTGGCTGGAGCAGTATTGTGGACCGCGGTTGAAGTCCTTGATGAGCGCTGCGCCACCTTGTATGGGTCAGTAGGGTCACCGAGGAGGCTGAAGAGTGAGTACTGAGGCTCTGTGCGGTGAAACAAATGTGGGAGCACTAGAAACCTTAATGATGAATGAATTTGGGCGGAGAGGTTTGACTTGGTGCCAAACATGCGAGGGTGTTCGAGTAGAAATGATAATCGTTCCCCCCATCCCGTTGCTCTTGCATTGGGCGCCTACCTGTGATCACGACCACGTGATCGCGCCACCGACGCGTTCGAGCTCTAATCGAAGGAATGGGCTTGCAAATGTTGTTATCTTCTCTCAAGCACGGCTGGTCGGCTCCAGTTCACCGATAGTAAGAGCGCGAAGGCGTCATAGCGCGAGGGAAGGCGCAACATACAGAAGACAGGATATTAATGGACACGCGCGACGCGACGATATAACTTTGTTGCAAACTGTCACCACGCCATCTTACATGCGCGATTGCATGATACCTGCTTATACATTCAAAATGATAGCATACAGTGTAAAATATCATACTGACCATCTGCTCATCGATATGCTTTCAGAAATTTCGTGATTTTGCTGTCCGTGCGCATCTGCGATTCATTTTGCCAGCAACTTCGCCTTGTTTCCTCTCTTGTTACAATCGCCTTACTGATAGCTGATCGTGACCGACGAGGAATCTGTCGACACCGAGGTCAAGACCTCGCCATTCTGCTCGATATTGATGAGCGTCGCGGTCGATGGGCCAACGGTTTCTCCATCGTAGGTCGCTTCTGCATTGGTAAACGTAACGGTGCCGAAGTCAGCAAAGGCGACGAGTGAACCATCCTCCTCATAGTCCTCGACGATCCATTCCGCATTTTCCTCGCACAGGGCATACGAAGAGCTCAGGTCCTGGGTCACTGTCTGTCCCGTCGACGGGTTCTCGATGTACGCAGTCCCCGATGTCGTGCTGCTCGCCGTCACAGTAAGCTGGACCTGATCTCCGGCACTGAAACTGATGCCGGAGAAGTCGTAGGAGACATCAGGATATCACTCATACCAGGCTTTTGGAAGTATCGTCAGAATAACGCAACGCTTTAGGACGAACCGTGGCTTGCGTACCGCTATACGAGACATCGCCGTACTCGTCGACCGTAAAGTCGACACCGGTCTGCAGGATGGCGTTCTCGCAAGTGTAGCCATCGATTCCGACCCAAGCAGCTGCAGATATGTGTCGCCCGAACTGCCACTGGGTGCACTGGGAGTGGGGACCGCAAACATGCCGGTCACGGCTGTGAATGATCCCTGTGCCGAACCGCAGATGAGTCCTCTGCTCAAACAAATATGTCGAGCATTCTAACGTGCCTCAGATTCAGCGTAAGCTGCTCCAGCCCAGTTCGTATCGTACTGCCCATTGGCGACGTCGCTGGTTATCGACTGGTCGATGATTTTAAAAGGCTGCGAACGGTGAGAGCCCGCGGCGCGGTGGGCAACGCGTTCTGCCAGCCTGGTGCCTCTAGGCCCCTTGATTCTGCGGACCACTCGATACTTGCTGATAGCGCCCTGTAAAGCATGCAGTCGCATTCGTTGTTCCGGGATCAGGGAAATTCTACATTCATATGGATGGCTTGGACAGAAAAGTTCTGCTGCGACTCGATATGATGAACGACGTGCCTAAATTATTCGGGGGTCGTCAACGTTGCCTTCAGAAAAGCACAGTAACTTCATCATGCCTGTCATCGACCGACGCATATTTCTGGATGGGAAGACTTTCCACGAACCCCTGAGGCTGCATTGAGTCGATGGCATTCTCCAGGTTATCCTATTTGCGCCCGCCGAGTACCAGAGGTAGCGTTTCCGGTTCTGCGTCTCGCACTGCATGCAGATTGATATGGCTTACGGAAGGAGTGTCGACTTCAATGGCATTTCAAGCTCACTATAGACCTCGACACAGGACAGTGGTTCGCTTGGCTGTGCAAGAATCTTGAAGCAGACCAAATACAGGCAGTCCGACTTCAGGTACAGACTCTATAGGCCAGCACGGCGGCAAAAGCGTACTTCCAATCATAGTGGTCCGGCTCGTTCTTCCCGAAACCTTTCCACAAGTCTCCGTATGCGACTTTTCAGTAGACGCTCCGGTCCTGTACTGACGATCGGGAAAAGACATGCAGGATAGTCCTCGTAGCCCAATTATCACCGCGCGTCAGCAGGTTCGTCCTAATCGTGTACTGTTGGTGAAGACATAGCTAGCAAGCGCGTTTGACATCGCTGTCAAGCCGAGCAATGAGCTATCGCAACCGAGGTTCGGGCTGTGGATGCAGGTCACGCTTGACCTGAAGTAGGAGGAGAGGAGTCGAAAAAGGCCTTGCCAAGTTCGCCGACAAGATAAAATGTGGTTGTTGATGGGAATTAGAGTCGTTTGAGGAACATGGCTGTGACAGAAGCCTCCGCGGTGAGGATGAGGGCATGTAGCCGTCTGGTCGGCACGATGGGCTCGAATGAATTTTCTTCAGTGATCATTGGCACCGACAGAGTCAAGCTTAAGTCGAGTGTAGTCAGAGTGGGGAAGATTGTTATCACGGAGGCGACATCAGATACCAGAAATATTTCAATCATAGTTGCGTGACGCCAGAGGTTACGAGGATTTGCAGGAGTTGGTCTGAGTACGGTGTCGCCTAAACTGCCCACTGCGCGAGATGCGATGGACCGTATGCTATGACAGAAAGATGACATGCAAACGATACGCTAGTGAACACGTTTCGAGCTGAGGAAGCGGGAGGAGGAATTGGATAATCCAAAGATAATGTCCATGAACACTCGCTGAAATTCCCAAGAATCAAGCATTTGATAAGACGCATCTCTGGTTGCACAATATTCTTGACGATTGAACTACGCGGAGCGTGCCCGGGAGATAGATGTCAAGAAATGCGTCATTCGACTGCCGCAAAAATGCAGAGATATGTTCAACACTGGGAGGCCACACTCTATGGTTTTGGTGCTAGCCCACAGCTCCAACATCGCGAGCGTGGTCTGTGCCAGCATGCAACACGTGTGAGCTATAGACAAAGGCGCGAGTGTAGCCCACCTTCTGAATTTTTTTTTGGTGAGAAAGTTGTCAACGGAACAACGCGACTAGACTAGGTAGCACATAGCAAATGTACCTAAAAGTTGATGGTGTTTTGAGCCAAAGAAGATGGAGGAGAGCGCACGCAGTGAACGTGCAGGTATACTCGGATTTGCGAGGTAGCCTGCAGCAAACCCTGATACGTGTTCCACAGGGTCATCCATAACCGCAAAGAAGTCGGCTAGAGTATTTGAGCAGCATCCGATGGCGATGGCGGAAGAACACAAGGAGAGAATGCGTGACACCCAGTGGCTAAGGCGCTAAGCGCTTGCTTAACGATCAAGTTGATCATGAATTTGGTATCTGTTGGTTGGTTGATTCGACTTTGGCCCTGCTTCCAGCGTTCATGCAGCGTACGGCGTAGACCATCTCAACTGCAGGTTCACGTGCCATCGATCATTAATAAAGATAGCTGAGGGCCGCCTCTCAGCACCACTTGTACTACTTTCCCCTCCACGTCACGCCCATCTTGCTCAACCATCAGTATTGCACTCGTTGAGTCCCTCGGAGGGCGCGCTACATCCCCAATCAGCAAACCCTATGGTGAGCACCGTATGCGCGCCACATTGACTCGCCACATATATGTCACTTGCAGTATCGCGAGATGAAGAAATCTCAGCCTTCGAAAGTCACGGAGCTGAGACGGTCGAGACGCTTGATGAAGAAGTTAGAGCGTTCGCTTCAAGCATCCAAGGATGCTGTATCTAGTCTCCCGCGGGCAGACGAGACAATTCCTTCAACCTGCACGGGCTCCGGATATCCTCGTCTGATAGCTGTATCCATCCGCCACATCCCTGCCGACGTCCTGCGACTCGTGTTCTCCGAATACCTGGACATTCCCGATAATGCTCACAGGTTACATCGAGCAACAGTTCTTACCATGGTGTGTCACACTTGGCGAGCTATTGCGCTAGATAGCGCGGAGCTCTGGACCGAAATAAAGCTCTCACTCGACCATTCTCTACCACCACTCTCGACCATATCAGCAGCCCTTTCTCTATCACGTCAACGGCCTATTGACGTCTATTTGCGGGTGGATAGACATCTGGAAGAGTCTGATCATGCGTATTGGCGTAGAGCCATTGAATTGGTGTGGGAGCACCAAGAGCGGTGGAGCTCTTTCGATCTCGACTACCTGTACGATCCCTACATGCCGGCTTCCAGCATGGATCTCAAATTACAGGGGACTCTGCCTTACCTACGCTTTATCAAGTGCAAATTACAAACTTATCTCAATGACAGAGGGTACTATCAGATTTCCATCAGCGTTCACAATTTCGTGGCACCAAGAATATGCAACTTGTCCCTTGGACGCTTGGTTAATGGGGTGTTTAAGTTCACGCCGACGAGTTTAAGCCATTCATTCCTTTCACTCGAATCCCTCCTTCTCGACTCCCGATTAGTACACTTTCGAAGGGAGAGCCGCGTCGAGATATTGAGAGCGCTGGCGTGCCTGCCCAAGCTGAAAGTTCTCCAGATCATTGGCAACGGTTGGGAAGGCTCTCTCACGACACCCAGCCCCCCGATTTGTTTGTCGTCCCTCAGGGAGCTCACCATCACGTCGTGCGGGGATTCGGCGATCGCCGAATGGCTGGCTATATTTCGGGCTCCAACTTTGACGACTATTGTCTTACCTGTTTGCGAGATGAAGATGCGGGGCTTTGACACATTCAAACAGCGGTTTCCGTCATTGCACAGGATGCATTTTGGCGTACGCTATCCAATGGGTTCACTTACTCCCTATGCCAAATTCTCAAGATACGTATCAGTTATAGAGCTCAAAACCTCTGTCAGCGAGTATTGGAGCTTCCGGTGTTTGATGCAAAATTTGGAGCAGAATGGCACCCATCTTTTTCCTTTGTTACATCGACTGGAGATCCACTTTTCGCGCCGCCTGGAAGAAAAATCCATCGACAGGTACTTGATAGAGGCTCTTCGCAACCTCGTCAAGACACGTTCGTGGAAGAGAGCTTCTAGCAGAAATAACGACCTCGATACAACTGGTGCCACGCTCCGGGAGGTGCATATACGGACCTCTGGGAATATGACACCATCGCTGAGAAAATGGTTCGAGGAGTACTTGGTATGCTTTACCTGCTCGTCAACGACACTGCAAGATTTGCAAGAAGAGACAGTGAGACTGGTGCGCATGCTATCGAATAGCGTCAAGATGTGTACGTACTGATGCTTTCGTGACGCAGGTGAATGGTGAGGAGGAATGATGCGGGACGGAGAAAACTCGATTACATGAGAATGGTGGTACAGGCAGCGGCAGTTCATCTATATAGTGATGAACCACTAAGCCTCATGGCTCGAGCAGGTCTGGTGAGCATAGGGGGCCTCGCACACGTTCAAGTTGTCCTGTGTCTATTAAACGTCTCTTTCTGTCAAGCCTGCCAGGCTGGCTACGCGGCTCGGCCTGGTGGGCTAAATTATGGGGATCAGTCGTGTGTTACAGCAGTATCAGATAGAGTTGATATATCTGTTTGAGCGCGGAAAGCCCACCTCGGCGTGAAAGGAATTCATCGACTAGAATCCTTCCATTTCGAAGCATGTCGGTCAGTTCGGAGGTTTGTCTGTTGAAAATCTTTTTCCGGTGGACAGGATGAGGATGGTCGATCATGCGCTGCAGAGCAAGTACCGTTACTATCTACGCAGGGAAGCCATTGAGAATCTTTGCGATATTTTGATTCAACTGCTGAATGTTATCATTTCGCGAGTCTATAAAGGCACCGTGGAGCCAATCAACAGTGCGGAAAGGCATACCTGTCTTTCTTCAGGCTTCCTCTCAAAATGAGGCATTCGTAGCAAAGGCATGAATTTATAACTCAGCTATGACACCTTTCCTGCAACAAGAAACGTTCATTTGCTTGCTGTGATGGGCAGGTGAACATTATGTATAAATGCCAATAAATCGGACGTGACTCACTTCTTCAGGTCCATTGGCTCTGAATATAATGTTTCGAACCGAGTGCGCAGGTCAGAGGTGACGATAAGTTGTTGTTGGCAACCCGTTGCCGGTAAATGTTGGCCGTGGGAGAAAGGTCGAATGGGCCGAATGCTTTCGCCACAGTGAGGACATTTTCCGCTGTTAGCCTAGGAACTGTTCAGCGGTAGTCCGACGAGTGCAAGAGGAGAAAACGGTCCCGAAGAGGGGGGTCGGGCCTGTGGCCGCCACTGAGCAGCCACAGATCTCGATCAAGTTTATCTCGCGCCACCGTGCCACCGGCGTCCTCGGAAGTCAGCACAGACTGGCACCGCTCGTCCCCGCTGAGTGTTGAACAGATCAGTTTGTTTCTTGCGTCCTTTTGCATGTGCATAAGTGATGGAAGAAACGAGCTCAAACTTCTCGACTTTCAGAGATTGCCTCGTGAGTCGTGTGATTGCGCAGCCAGGTGTCCTCGACTCTCCTTCTGACAACCCCGACTCGCTCGACGATTTCACCTCCTACCTGGCCACCGAAACCTGGCCCGGTCTGCCTGTGTCTCTCCGCTCCGCATCTTACGAGTCTCGCTCAGATCTCCCTGACGTCGACACTCTGCCGCTGGAGAGCATACCCTTGTCATTCTTCGATACCCTAGTCTCCTGCGGTATCACAGAAGATGCCGACGCTGCCATGTCTCTACTGCGGAAGGTGCTGCTGGAGTACGTGGCCGAGACGTGTGCGCCACCGCCTGTGTGGTCCAAGACACGCACGTCGGAATGCCAGATCTGCGAGCGCGAGGTGCCGTTGACCTACCACCATCTCATACCGCGCCAAGTCCACGCGAAAGCACTTAAGAAACAGTGGCATCGGGAGGCGATGTTGGACTCCGTGGCTTGGCTTTGTAGGTAGGATCACGCGCATTCGGAGCATGGGTCTTAGCTGAATGTGCTATGATGGTGCAGGCCGTGCCATTCTACTGTACATCATGTCGCATCCAACGAAGATCTGGCCAAGAAATACTACACCGTCGACTTGCTGCTGGAGAGGAAAGACATCCAGAAATGGAGAAAGTATATATCAAAGCAACGATGGGCGGTTAAGCGAGGTTGACTCTCAGCTAGCCGGTGCTCTCCTCTGTATCGTGGCCACCGGAATGTCTCTCCCCGGACTGGTAGTGGACGTTTGCTGATACCGAGGCCTGCCTATTGTCATGATCATATTGCATATATCATGCAGCCCGACTACCATCCGATGCGCTCTCAAGCTCGAGCTACAATGGAATCTCCTGAGCCGATCACTGAGCGGAATGGAATATCATTCCAATTGTGTTGCAACACCTGCCAGTCAAGAATTACCAACAGTCCGCCAATCCCAGGCGACGGAATGATTGGACGAATGACAGGTCAGAATGATCTCTTTCTATATTCGGCCAGATCTCCACGCGAGATCGACGCGTCCACCGCAAGGCTTGCGCGTGCCACCGCCATTGCATCGCTGTAATTGTTGCCCTCGCTTCCCTTCATTAGCGATGTCATAAATTTTATTGTGCACAGACCATCTCGTATCGCTTGACTTACGTGCAGAATGAAAGCAGGCTGCCAGACGGGCTGAACACCGACCCTTCTCCCGCACAAATCGCCGTAACTAACGCAACCACCTTGTGTCCCGCAACGTGCTATGGTAATCCTGAGTCCATTCTAGGGCGACCGATGAAATTTAAAGGGACCACGCGTTTGCTTGCAACGATCCTCCGCGGTGCCGCCATTTCTCCCTTTCTCCTCCTCTCTGCTCTTCTGCTCAGCGCTGGCCGCCGTATAAGTCTTCCTTTCGTTCTCGTTCTTCTTCAGCACGCGGCCGGTCACCGCGCTCATAATTTTCTTCATCAGTTTACTATCGAAGCTGCGGTGCTGCTGCGCAATGCTGTCGAACGCTCTGTTTGTTGTGTCGTTGTTCTCGCTCGCCCTGGGCAAACCGCTTGCATCCAGCATGCGCGTGCTGGAACGCAGGAACAGCCCACCGGCGGATTTTTCCTACTCGGGTGCCGCGCATTCGAGTACGATGATGAATTTGCGTATTGCGCTTGCGCAGAGCGATGTGGCCGGACTGGAGGAGGCTCTATACGATGTGAGCTCGCCCTCGAGCGAGAACTACGGGAAGCACTTGACTAAGGAAGAGGTAAGCCCGAGTCTCTTAGATTTCTGTGAAGAATCTGATCGATCGAGAATGCGATAGGCTGCATCATTCGCGGAACCCACCAGCGAGACCCTCGCTGCGGTCACCTCCTGGCTCGAAAGCAACGGCATCAACGCGACTGCACTCACTCCTGCTAGTGATTGGCTCGCCTTCTCTGTCTCTGTGGAACAGGCGAACGATCTCCTTGACGCACAGTACAATGTGTACACCCACGAGACAACTGGACGACATGTTATTCGTACGATGTCGTATTCTGTGCCAGCTGCGATGGAGGCGCATGTGGACGCGGTATATCCCAGTACGACGTAAGTCCAGACTGTTCGATCGTAAATCATCTGCTGAAAGTCATGATGTTATGTAGATTCCCGAGTACCACAGCCCTGGCACCTGTGTTCAAGGCGCACAAGAGAGGTCGCGATCAGCTCGATGTGGTTGTCAAGAAGAGCTTGGGAATGAGCTCGTCGTCCTCCATCGCTACCTCCGATGTTTCTGCCTCCTGTGCCCATGAGATCACTCCATCTTGCCTTCAGTCGCTTTATGGCATCCCTACGACGTCTGCTAGCAACTCATCAAACACGCTTGGCGTCAGCGGGTTCATCAATCAGTTCGCGAATCAGGCGGACCTGAAGGTAGGCAAGAGTCGTCACTACCAGCTGGCGGGATACTGACAGAACGGCGTGGTGATTCAGAGCTTCTTGGGGCAATTCCGCACTGACATCAGTGATAACACGACGTTCAGCCTGCAGACTCTGGACGGCGGAAAGGACCTGCAGAGCGACAGTGAGGCGGGCGTCGAAGCTGTGCGTTGCATCTTGTATCTGAGTACGCGTTCTGGCGTCACTGACGGTATCGCATTGCCATCGATAACGTTGCACAGAATCTGGACATTCAATACACTGTCGGTCTTGCCACGGACGTGCCGGTGACGTTCATCTCTGTCGGCGAAGACACCTCAGATGGCGACCTCGGTGGATTCCTCGACATCATCAACTTCTTGCTGAACGAGGACAGCCCGCCGGCGGTGCTTACGACGAGCTATGGCGATAACGAGGAGAACATCCCTATCAAGATGGCGGTGTATGCTCAGTTCTGTATCTGCCCGATTCGCTTGGTTGATTGACGTGCTCTTTGATAGCAATCTGTGCAATGCGTATGCCCAGCTCGGCGCACGCGGAGTATCAATCTTGTTCGCATCTGGTGATGGAGGTGTCTCCGGGTCACAGAGCCAGGAATGCACCGACTTCGTGCCAACCTTCCCCTCCGGCTGTCCCTAGTGAGTACCGCTCCTATTAACGCCCCAAATCCGCCGCTGACTGACGCACCACAGCATGACCTCTGTCGGCGCAACGACCGGCATCTCGCCCGAAGTCGCTGCCTCCTTTTCCGCGGGTGGCTTCTCCAACTACTTCAGCACGCCGTCCTACCAGTCCTCCGCCGTCGCATCCTACCTCTCCGCACTCGGCGACACTAACGCAGGGCTGTTCAACACATCGGGGCGCGCGTACCCCGACGTGAGCACGCAGGGAGCGAACTTTGCGGTCGTCATTGACGGGCAGGTCAAGCCAGTCGACGGGACGAGCTGCGCGAGCCCGACGTTCGCGAGCGTCGTTGCGCTGCTGAACGACGAGCTCGTGAGCGCGGGGAAGAGCACGCTTGGGTTTTTGAATCCTTGGTTGTATAGCACGGCGAGCGGCGCGCTGAACGATGTGACGAGTGGGGATAACCCGGGGTGTGAAACGAATGGTTTCCCGGCTACGACAGGGTGGGATCCGGTAGGTGGCCCGACTGGGTGGAATTGGTTGCCCTGAGACTGAAGATGTGTTGCAGGTGACCGGGCTTGGAACGCCGAACTTCGCGGCATTGAGGACGGCTGCGGGATTGTAGACGATGGTAACAACAGCACAATATCGGTACTGTATGAAAGGGGATCTTCTTCTTGGATGGTTGATTTGGTCGATATGTCTAGATAACTGCTTGTTGCTTGCATCTTGGGAGCTTTCTGGACTCCGCTGAAGGAAACAATTTTGGGACAATAGTGTAGCATAGTCAGCCGGGATACATCAACATATGCTAGGATACGTACGTAGTAGCATTGAAAAGCGGAAGTGTCCAGTTGAATCAATAGTATGTTCGGAGGATATGAGCCGGAGAACGTCAGCGGGGATGAAGCAGATTAAAGCGGCATTCGTCACGGATGCTTGAAGTGACCTCTTTGACTTCTCCTTCTAGCGCCTCGACTCCATAGCTTCCGAAATCTGGAGTTCCTCGCTGTTGTAACTGTCATGCGTATGGTGAACGTCGCATGAATATCTTGGGCGAAACCCCGGAGGGGTTTTGCCGATTACGCCACTGATCTCGATCAACGATGATCTGCCGCCACTGCGCCATCGACTCGGATTCGTTAGTACGAGCGGAAGCCTCTCCGCGTGAGTGTAATTATTGCTTCCGATTGCACCCCCTCCGCTGATGAAACAAATGTCGCTTGAAGCGCAGAAAAATGTGACAACGCAGAGAATTCCGTTTCAAACCGATTGCGAAATTGTCGTTGAACATTAAGCGCCTAGCGCTTAGTGGTCGGCCATTCTCGGAATTTTTGACTGAAAATTCAGCGCGAACTTAACTCTGTCTCCAGCATACAACGGCTCCTCACAAACTGCTCCTCATGGTGCTGCCCAGGTGACCCGTAAGTTCGTTATCGGTACGAAATCCTGATATTCGTGATACCTATGCTGGTTGGACAGTGGACTTCGTTAATTCGCGTGCAGTTCTATGAACAGTACGTGCTGTCTGGTGGATATTCTTCGAAGCATGCTTACACAGGCTTGTGCATGTCACTGCGGTGCCTCTGAGACGTACGCTTGGCTTCAATGTGACCGCCGCACGGATAAAAAGGACGAATTTAAATTATGCGACGCTCCAGCAGAGAACCTCTTGCTTCAGTAAATCAGAAGAGTTCTATCGAGGGGAGGGCCGCGACATTATAAAGGCGAGTGCAAGCACAGAATAACGCTTTGTTTTCGGACCCTCTATCCGCTACGAAATATGCCAGCTGCTATCGATGGGCTATGGGATCTCCTTTAGCGACATAACCCGGCACGCCGGGCTCGGAATGGGGATGAGTTATCAGCATAAGCAGGATCCGAAGTAGAACGCCAACGAGACACACTACAAAGCTTTAGTCGTAGGTCGTATTTAATCCCCATCGCAGATGTCACTGATCTTAATCTATCCTGGAACGTATTGCAGGAGAGATCAATTGATCTTGACCACAATCTCACGCACAACTCCGCAGAACGTTAATATTAATTGCGAGCTACTAGCAATGCAGCCGAGCGCCACCCTCCAAGGCGCCACTCTGCTTGCGAAACAAGATCCCGCTGCCCTTCATTCATGTCCGCAAATAACATATATGCCTGCCGCTTTGGACATCAACCAACTGCCATGCGGCTAGTCGAAATGCGCCCTGTCCCAAACTTTGAACTAGCAGATAATCTTCTGCGCACCTCGCGAACAACTTTGGCCGTCATTTCCCTGCCTAGATCGGTATGTATGCTAACGACAAGAATCCAGGAACGGCACGCGACCTTGGAATGATTAGCAGCATCACACAGGTCCATCACATCAACTGCGCCCCCACCGCACAGCCAGCGCGCAGGACATCCTTTACCGGTGGCTCACACTCTTTGTCACTTCGTCTCTGGTAAGCACAATTTCTGCGATGGCGTTCGCCCCTCTGACTGCGACTGCAATCCTTCAATTACAGCTAGTCCCCGCATTTGCGAGTATTCCAACAGTGCACGAGCTGACCGCGGCGAAACCACGCCAGAACACGCTCTTGCTTTGCCACACAACAAGCCCCGTGCCGATTCCACTCCCATCTTCCCATCCCTCTCCTCACCCACCTCCCCTCATTGGCCCTTGCGAACCAGTTCCCTGTCATGGGAACGGCCCCGTCGCACCACGCCCATCTCAGCAGCACTGCCCACCGACCCCGCATCTCGCACATCACCATTCCCTAGGGTCATGGGTCGCACTCGCTGTCACGCGGCCACCGCAGTAGGAAGCGCCACACTACGTAGATTATGAAAGCAATTCAACGAAGACGAGCGATAGATCACATAACAAGACGACGGAACCAATGTACAAAGCCTACAACTCCCACCCCACACGCCTCCTTATTGCTCCTTCCCGTTCCCCTCACACTCACGCTCTCATCCCCCGCATGCAAGCCAAGAAGGCACACTCAGGTGCATCCAGCAGAAAAGTAAGATGAGCACTGGAAATGTACAGCACGACCACTACGCGAAGCTAAAAGGCTGTGATGTAGCACACGCATCTAGCTTTGCGCTGCCGGGCGAAATCTACAGATCAATATCTACTTCTCGTCGGTGTTCTTCATGATCCAGGGCTCCGACGCGACGAACTGCGAGGTGGGGACCCCGAGCTCGAACAGGTGGGACACAGCATTGGCGAAGCTGACAGCGGTCGTCAGCATCCTGGTTCACACGCACAAGGCAGCAAAGGGGACGCACTCCTTGAACCACAAGTCCTGGTCCTTGGCATACGCCTGGACGTACTTCTTGAACGTCTTGTCCTGGACGAGTGCGTAATCCGAGCTAACAGCCGATCTTCGTAACTAACGCTCGCTCGAGAATAAGAAGAGCAAACATACGGCAACATCATCAGCGTGCCGGTGGTCTTGTCTGCGAGCTGCTTGGGGCCGTCCCACTTCCTCCAGACCCACTTCTCTTCGAGCAGAAGGCGGAAGTACTCGTTACTGACTGTGACCGGCGAGAACGTCCAGGGGCCGTCGAATCCGGAGCGGTCGCGGTGGCAACGGCCGAGGGCATGTGCACCAGAAAGAGCTACGATTTCCTGGTCGTTGAAGCTATACTACCATCAGTGCTCGGCGACCATGCAAATTGAGAGGACGGAACGAACCCCATGCGGTGGAAGATCTAGAGACGCAAGATGTTCAACGGGCTGCAATTAGGCGACTCGGCGACTGGCACTTACGTTCCGGAGGTGGTCAGCGCCCTTTGCACCATCAGGGAGACGACCGTCGGGAGTAGCCTGTTCTGCAAAACCATCGATTCTGCCTGGTCTCCATGGGATCTTTGGGCCGCCCATCTCCTGGATCGCGCACACGCCGCCAAGAGTCCACAAATCACCGTACGAGATCCAAGGGAACTCCTGATGGATCTTTTCCTGGACAGCACGAGCGACCTGCAAGCCAGCGTTTGCACTATGCAGCGATTCCGGTGCGAAACGCATCGTCGCATAGTTGCTGCAAGGACGCGTCAACACCCACTCTATGGCGAATTCAACATGCTACTAACCTGCCGCCAGTATTAGTTGCCTTATCGTAGGTTCCCGAGCAGTGCCAGGCAAGACGGAGAAGCACAGGACCGTAGGAGCCATCTGCATCGTGAGCGTGAGTCTAGGAAGGACCCCACGAACGGTGACGTTCTCACGCACCGTCGTAGTCGATGTCGGCAGCCTCGTCCATTACCTCGGCGATTCTGTTGTACACCTTCGCAATTCAGTCGTGTCAGTCACGGGATGCTGCAGCGATCATGATGCAGCTCCTGACCTTCTGGTAGTCTTCCTTTGTAGGCACAAGCTTAGTAGCAGCCTTCGCGGACTGCACGCCTGACTTGATCGCAGTGCCCGCCTCCTTGGCGGTGTTCGATTCGGACGCGTATACATAGTAGCCAATGCCTCCGGCCGCAGTGAGTGCTGCTAGGCCTGCGAATAAAGCAGCATTCGACTTCTTCGGCGCTGCCTCGGTTGAATACCTCCTGAAGGCGGGATTACGGAAGGCGCGAGGTGCCCTCGCAGCATTGACGGGGGCCCTGCGAAGGGCTGCTCGGACGACTGCGAACGACATGGTGGGAGAGGGGCGTGGGCGTGTGCGTGTGTGGGAGGAGGCCGCCGCGCTCGCATTTGGCCTTTCTCGGGCGTCTATCTCTCGCTTAGCAAATGATCCATATTTGATCGGCTAACAGCATGTGATGTGGGGTAGCAGCCAATCGAAGACCAGGGATTGTGATATTCTCGAGTGTACTGTCACGATCACATGACCGTGCATGAGCATTTGTCACGCTGCTATGTCATTCTGGGATGCCGTCATGCTGCCCCGAACATATCCGTGCAATCGCGATGTGTCGCTCCGATGGGCCCAGCTTGCTGCAGCCATGAGCGAAGAGTCGCTGCTTGCGGTCCAGCGCAATTCGAGAAAGCTCGAGATCACACGCGTCGTCACCTTATCCGACGCGCGTGATGCGGTCACGTGCTGAAAATTTCGGTCTGCGCGCAGCGATTGGCTGGCGGTACGGCACTTTGATTTCCTCTTTCGTTTTATTTCTCTCACCGTCCTAGGCTTCGTCCTCGTCCTTCTGGTGTACTTGCTAGACTCGAAAAGAATGGTGTCATTCCAGTGAGTGATGAATTGCGTTTGCAAAGGCGAGCGTATTGAACGATACTGGCTACACCCAGATGCGAAGGTAAGAGTTCACAGTACGAATACTTTGCGGTCAGACGATCCAGCACCTCATAACGGCCTGTCGACGTTCAGCCTGCAGCGACACCGTGAAAAAGCCGAAACTAGACAAGCATTACGCGTCCTGCCACGCGTCCTTCTCATGCATTGACTGTAGCACCACCTTCCACTCGCCCGCTGAGTACAAGGGGCACACAAAGTGCATCAGCGAAGCTGAAAAGTATCAAAAAGGCCTTTACAAGGGTCCAAAAGGCGTACGTCCCCATTCTATCTCACAACAGAAACGATCACTCACGCAATCTCATCCCTCCTCAGCAGCAGAGCAACGGTCCCCGAAACAACGGGAACGACGCCCGCGGCAATGCAAATGGGCGACAGAATGCGTCAACGGGTACGTATCAGTCCTGGGCTCGCAACAGCGGCCCAGGGGACCCCAGTTGGAGCAGGGGTCCTACACGCTATGAAGCAACTGGCGCTAACGTCACTCCCCTGGGCACCCCTGCGCGGATGTCGCGCGTCACGTCTCCAGTGCCCGAGCCCACGACAAGTGGTGCACATGCCAATGGTGATGGGAACACGGCAAGCGCGAGTGCTGCCTCGCCGCAGGACTCAAGCAAGGACAAGAAGAAGCGCTGGTCGGATGTTGCAGAGGATGGACCATCGGGACAGGTGTGTGGTCTCGGATCGAGCTTGTCTCGTCCATGCTGACTGCGTGGGGCAGGCGGCAGAGATGAATGACGAGCCAAAGAAGAAGAAGGCGAAGACGGACAAGGACGCTGCACCTGCACTGGAGATTGTTCGAGCCGAGGAGGTAACGAAGAAAGAAAAGAAGGACAAGAAAGCGAAGAAGGAGAAGAAGTCCGCTGAAGCAGCAGCGGAGAAGCCGATCGCCTCCACATCGATCTCCACACCTCCACAAGCAGACTCAGCAGAAAAGGTGGACAGTGAGCATTCGGCAGAGAAAGACAAGAAAGGAAAGAAAGAGAAAAAGTCGAAGAAAGGCAAGGACGATGTGATAGACTCTCAACCTGCGGTGGCACCTGACGCTGACGCGGAGAAGCCGCCGAAGAAGGTCAAGAAGGGCAAGGAGTCCGCAAAAGCGCAGGACGAGAGTCAGGCACCGGCGAAGACGGAAGCAGAGGGCAAGAAAAGCGAGAAGCACAAGAAAGAAAAGGACGCTGCCGAGGCGCAGTCGGCGGAGGCGACGGCTGTTGAGGCAGCCGAAGTAAAGAAGCGGAAGAGGGACAAGGGCACGGTGGAGGAGTTAGCCCAGGAGAAAGAGGGCAAGGAGAAGAAGAAGCGGAGAAAGAGCGATGCGGTAGGGGCTGAGGAGGGCGGGTCCTCTCACAAAGGCAAGGAGAAGGAAGAAGCAGCGGGCAAGGCTGAGAAGAAGGAGAAGGAGGGTAAGCAGAAGAAAAACAAGTCGAAGAAGACGAAGGCATGATCTTGCAGGCCTCTCTGCTTTCTGGGTCGTGATATCTACGGGATGCTTGATGTTTTCTGGATTTACTACAGCCGCAGAGTCTGATATACCAATCCGGTCTTTTCCATGCCAGTTGATGCTGTGTTGGTACCTAGACTATGACGCTGCGACTGCATGCGATGATCATACGAATTAGGTATGTACACACCAATTGTATTCCAGCCCAACAAATGATACACATAAATGTACACATATCTGAGGAGGCAAGCATGTGTTCCTAAGCTCAGGTATCTTTGATTGAATCTATACCTCCAATAAACAGTCCGCCGAGCTATTCCACCGAGATCCTTAATCATTGTACACTTAGAACGCCGTCGTCGAGTCGACCTCGATCGTCGGTACGATAGATGCGATGAACTTGAGGAACACAACAAGGTAGAAGTCGACCCGCATGCCCTCGACGTCGTCCTCTGCAACCGGTGTGCCCATCGTTTTCTCCTCCTTCCCGATCCCGCTCGCACGCCGGAAGAGCCACCTCTTCTGCTTGTCCTTCGGCGACGCGGCTCCGGACGTAGAGCCCTTGCGCTGCGCCTGCTGCTCCTCTATCACGCCTGCGTTCATGCGCTCGATGACCTTCTTCATCACGCTCGCATGCTTGCACGGGTGCACGGACGCCGCCTGCAGGCTCGTCGAATGCGGGAAGGCCTCGATGGTGACGGTCTTGAACGCGTGGTCTGCGGAGACATCTTGGAATATCTGCGAAGGCGTCAAGGGCGTGCGGTTCTGCTCGGCCAGGGAGATGAGCGATCCACCGATAATACGATATGTGCGCACATATCATCGCCTACCTCGTCGTAGCCAATCAGCCAGATCCGTGGTGTCTGGTAGTATTTATCATATGTGATCATGACATCGTATGTTCTCACTTGGAGCAAGTTGTCCTTCGCTACCTCAACTTCACTATATCGGGACATGTAAGGACATAGAGGTAGAATAGATGGTATACAACGCACCTTGCCTCGGTCAATCTTGCCACCGGAGCAGCGGCTTTCGGCGCAGCTGTCGCCTCATCGTCTCCTGCTTCCAAGTCCTCCTCCTCCATGTCCGGGATGTCATCCATATCCGGGATCTCATTGATGTTGGGCACCTCCTCCGCAGACAGGGACATGTTTCCCATGGCGTTGGTCATACCGTCCGCGCCTGAGAGCTCGTCAGCGTCAGGGATGTCTTCAATGTCCGTCGCGTTGGCCGCATCATGTCTCGCGGCTCGACCGGCATGTGTCTCCACCCATTCATCCGTCTCATCGCCCGTGGAAGACAGCTCTCCGAAGGAGAGCAGCCGTTCTGCGTCCTCGTCTGCGTCGGTATAAGCCAAGGCGGTGGCGCGCCGGAGGCAGGCGACTCCGCGGGTTACGAGGTACTGCTTATCGGCTGGTAGGTAGTCGCGTGCCTTCGATGCGTCACCCTTCTCCCTGTGTGATATCAGCTATAGCATCATTCGCTCGCGGAGACGCGACGGACCATGACCAGACCGGGAACTTATATGTCAAGAAGTCACCAGCAGCAACGAATTCCTCTAATCGCGGCGCTTCAGTACCAACACAGGGACTATGATCAATTAATGGCACACCTGGTGTTATGCGACCATGCTCCTTGAACTTGCTCTCCTTCAGAACCTGTATATCGCGTCAAGGCTATCTCTCGACGGACTGGAACCAGTGGCTTACAGGACTTAGGTATTCGCGTAGCGCGAAGACTTGCGACTGGAATCGAGCATGTAAGTCATCAGATCTCGTCTTGGACAGCAGCTCACGTACTTGGATGGCGTGCATGTCGTGCAAGAGCAGATGGACGAACGGTGGCAAGAGCAGTCCGGCTTGAGGTGCCGCGACACACTGGCCAATCGATCTCAGCGGCTGCTCACGTGCTACAAATTACAAATAAGGAAGGTCCCGGACTCCCTTGGTCCCTTGATCACAGATCACATCAGAAACCATGAAAACGGCTTCATTCCTTTCTCAAACTGCATCATTGCAGCGTCTTCAGTGCAAATATTGCCATGTGTGCGGGATAACTCGAGAGTGATAATGACATTGCCATGCACGAAATATGCCCTAGGATCCCACTTAGTGATTTGTAAGAAAGCGCTCTACATGATTCAACTTATCACCGAGGATTTGTAACAGAAGAGCTACGTAGAACTCCGACGACTGTAGGCTGCATACTGTCTCAGCCCTGATCACAGCCTTTACTCTGCAGTACCGGATCCCGTGATAAAATCATGCATGGCTTTCTGCACCTCTAATTTCTCCATGACTGCCTTATGCAAGCTCGATGCGTTGCGCGTTGATCTCCCCTTTCCTTTTGCGGGGTTCGTGTCGGCATTTTCATTGGCTGACGAAGGCATGGACTGCGATGTGGACGCCTGAGGATGAGCTTCTTGCGAATCTATGTTCCATAAGGATGACCGTGCCTGGCCATCTTGAACGGAGACCGATGCAAGGTGTGAAGGAACAACGATGGGTGTGGGACGAGGTGGAGGTGGCCACTGTCGGGAGGTAAGGAATCAGCTTGAGATTTTACACTATTAAAGAAGCTGTAACGGGAAGACGTACGCCACGACGAGGCTGATTGAAGTGCAAAGCAGCCCATGGTGGATAATCGCGCTCCAGCTGTACGATGTGATCTTCCAAATATTTCAATCGGTCTAGCATTGACCTAGGAGAGGATGGCACTGCGACGTTGGGATGTCAGATGTTACATTCTATCACGCGGCAGAATCATTACCGTAGCGAACCGCTAAATGAGACTCGATATTGCGCAAGCGTTCGTCCAACCCATGAAACCGATCAGGGAAAAACGAGCGATTGTCAGAGTCCGCAACCGAATTCCTATGTGGTTGTCCTGAGTCAGCTTGTTTTCCGGCAGAGGCGTTCTGGACAGTTCTACGGAGAGGACCATCCTCGTTCTTTGCGATGTCATATTTCATTTGGATTTCCCGGTCCTGTGTCTTCGCATCTGTGCGGGCACAGGAAGATATTCCAACGCTGAAATCGCCTCCTTCATTTAATCGGCGTCTTTTTTCCGCAATCGAATTCAAGAACTCGCTGCGGTTGGAGACATCATTACGGCCACGACTTTGAGCAAGAAAACGAGAGATTGATTTCGTTATCTATGTCGATACATCAAGAACCTGTTGAGGATCATGGGAAAATGACTTACTGACTCCTGCGAACGATGTTCTACGCCCTGCGCGAAGTGCGCATAACCAAGCTTGCGGGTGTCCAACGCCTGCTCTTGCGGCTCAACCGAGTTTGAGGTATTATCCACCTTACTGGCATCGTTCGCGGCTAGCTTCTTTGTGACGGAGGCGAACAGGGTGTCAAAAACATCAAAATTAGAACATGAGGGGAATCCTACCGTTAAGTTGCATCTGAGTTCATCGAGAGCTTTCGGAATATTTTCCCGCTCCCATTCTGGATTCATGATCACCATGTCGGCTTCAAACCCACGTAAAGCTTGCGAAAGGCCCACAGAAGCAAAAAATGACTTGAATATTGAATCCCAATGTCGATGAAACGTCTGAGGTGCGAGTGAAGGGGAAGGCGAGCGTTTGTCCCGTAGTAATTCAGCGTCTGCTGTGCCCGTAGTCACAGCGGACTTGTTATGGCCATCCTGCGGGGAATATTGTGCCTGAGGGAAAGAGTAGTGGTACCCTGCTGGGAAAGCATATGCATTCATTGGCCACGCATTGCCCCAGCCGACAGTAGGCTGCAGAGGATAATTGTAATATTGGTAAGAGGAGTTTGCTGTAGCATTATGATTGTGCACGTATGCGGGCTGCAACTGCGCGGCGCTCGCGTATGTGGGTTTCTGCGGTGGCTCCGGAAAGTGAATCGATGGCTGCCCTAGTTGCGGAGCACTCTCTGGACGCTCAGGATCCTCCTGTTTCCGCGCGGTGCTTTGAGGGGAACGTTGAGAGCGCTGGGATGGCCCAGCTGCGGACGGTGGCGGACCGAGCATCAATGTACATGAACTGCGAACGTAGAGCCTCTCCGACGTTTTGAACAGAGAACAGAGGCACTGATTGACTCGAAAAGGAAGCGAGCGCTTACTATGAGCGCTCTCAGCTAACCGCCATCATCCGCCGACACCTCAGACAACTAGCTAATTGTGCAGTTCCATAAAGGCAGCACAGCATCCTATACGGTTCAGACAGGTCTTCCGACGCTGAGGCAGTTATCTTGATCTGCGCAAGAGCTATGGCGGTGGACACGGGCCACATCTCATCCGCTTCGTCCGTGCTAGTACGGCAGGATGAGCTGCCGACCGAGTTAATCCTGTCGATGGAGCGAATCCTCGAGATTAGACCAGGCCAAACATCGGATCCCCTGGACAACCTGAAGGTTGATTTCAATCCGGTTCAGTTGCTCAATGATTACTTTCCAGACGGTATGTGCGGAGACTGTGCGGATGCACAATACAGTTGTTAAGCTCAACTTGTCGAATAAACGTTCATCAATAGAGGCTTCGCTTGGTCAGCTTGAGTCTGCGCAGGCTCGTCTATCCGAGAATGAACGGGCGTTGCGAAATGAGATCGAGGCACTGAAGGAGGAGTTGAGACGTGAACAGGATCCAAGTCGCATGCAAGCGATTCAAGAAATGATTTCTGTGTGTATTATAAGCGTCCTACTACGCGTCTATTATTTGCAAGTCTGATCACAAATGTAGGAGCTGCTGGGACAAATGTCTCGTATCCGGGAGAAGGCCACAGAGTCAGAGGCTGTCGTGCGGAATATCACCAAGGAGATCCAGGTGTTGGACTTGGCGAAGAAAAACCTTATCCTGAGCATGACCACATTAAAGAGGCTGCAGATGCTTGGTATGACCATTTTATCGTGACCGAAGACGACGATTCTGAAACCGTGAAAGTCAATGCCCTGAGTCAGCTCGAGGACCAGGTCAGAGACAAGCGGTATCATGATATCATACAAACGCTGGCTGTGAGTTGAAATCACTGCCAATCTCCTGTTAAACCTGAGCAACGATCTGCAGGCTGTCAAACAGATCTGCGCGTCATTCAAGCCTTACATGTCAATTCATCGAATCTCTCAGACTTGGCGACGAATTCAAGAAATACAGGGCGAGTTGCGTACGAAAATAGATGCAGATTGGGAGCGCTTGTACGTTAAGCATGTCGTCTCAATTTATTCGCTACTGCTCATATGAAGGCCTAAAGCTATACTCAAGACCCGACCAAACCCATTAAGCCATCAGTCATTGCAGATGCATGCCTGGTGATAGACGTGATTGGCTCAGATGTCCGTAATCAGTTCATTGACCGTTACGTGGCTCTCGAACTCAAAGAGTACCGCCGCATCTTCCGAGCGACGGACGAGGCTGGGCAGCTCGACAATCTCTCTCGCCGGTTCGCATGGTTCCGACGGTTGTTGCAGACTCACGAACTTGAACAAGGAAGAGTCTTTCCTGCCGAATGGCGGGTTGGATGGTTCTTGACTGCCAAATTCATCGAGATTACTAGGTAATGGAATTCGGACGCTCTGATATGCATCTGATCAACGACTACTTTAGAGATGATATGACAGCGTTGCTCTCCAAGGCCGGGTCAAAGTTGACTGTGAAGCAACTCCTCGACACCCTTCAGGACACCATGGATTTTGAAGCATCTCTCGGACGCAAATATGCCACCCCAGTCAGCCATGACATGCAATGCCTCCGCTATAATTGTATAACTGATTGTCGGCATAGGTGACGGATATCTTGAAAGAAACGCAACCCGCGGGGGCTTCACGACCGCTCAAGACCATTTCATCTGCGTTCGAACCCCACATGGGTGTGTACATTGACGCTCAAGACAAGTTGAGCATCGACCTCTCTCACACCGATCTATACACTAATGCCTTTTATTTCAGAGCGCTTGGAGATATGCTTGCTCAATATAGAGGCTCAAAGTCGCGTTCATCATTGGAAGCTGCTTCTTCCGGCAGCTCAACGGATGAATCGACGCCTCCCGTCCTAGTGCTTCCGTCCTCTACAGAACTGTTCTATTTCTATGCGCAAATTCTGGATCAATGTGCCAAATTGTTCACCGGCCAGCCTCTATATGACTTGTCCGTGTTGTACAAGAAATGGCTACGTATCTATGCCGGTAGGTGGCGCGTTACCTGATGCATCGTGCACTCTCACGGCTATTCCAATTTTCAGAGGATGTTCTCTTGGCGAGCATGAAGAAGTAGGTCTTGGATCTACATCGTGTATCGCCAGACTTTATTGATGCGTCTGAGCAGGCCAAGTGCCGTGTCTTCGAGGAAATCTATGGAAAGCAGGCTTGACATGAATGAATTGAAGAGGGCTTGTACGCTCATCAATACTGCCGACTACTGTCAGACTACCGCACTTGAAGTAGCACTTCACTTTTAACCGGTAGACGATGCTCCTCATACTTCTGCGCCTCTTAGATGGAAGAGAACATCAAAGAGAAAAGTGACCAGGCGTTCAAAGATAAGATATCGTTCCAAGAGGAGAGTGATCTGTTTGTCGGGTGAGCATACGGGAATGGACCATCTGCTGTTGGACTAAGCTTACTCGCTCAAAGTGCCATCTCGGCCGCAATTCAGGTCATGCTAAGAGAACTGGACGCTGCTTGCGATCCCGCTTTTGCGACTATGTCGCGGACAGCTTGGACCACAGTCAAATCTGTCAGCGGCCAATCTGCATACGTGGATGATCTTGTGAAGGCCATTGATCAAGTGATCAGTTCTGTCAAGCCGCTTGTGGAGCAAAAGAAATATCTGCGCAACTTCCTGGACAAGGCCTCTAGGTTCGCCGGGATTCCCAGCTTATTGATATCAGACTAACTGATACGGTGACTCTCGTTCCATAGTGCTCTATTTGCCAAGTTCACCAACGCACTTGTCAAAAGCCGACCTTTGAAGGAGATTGGCGCCGAACAACTCCTGATCGATTTGCAAGAACTCAAAGGAGCTTTGCTCAGGATCCCTGGTGACTCCCTAATTACCTCAAAGTGCGTTCCAATAAGCTCTTCATGAACACCCCATTTGACCTGAAAGTGACAGTTACACACGAAGCGTCACGAAACATACCACGAGATTGGAAGCACTGTTGAAAGTCATCGTGACTCCCTTAGTGAGTTTGTAACCTTCCACACTATTCGTGGCATGATTCGAACCCTCTATAGGATCCTGTTGACGGTTTCATCTTGAATTACACCCTCCTCATTGGCGATGCATCGTTCACGAACTTCCAGAAGGTGGAGATGCCATTGACTTTCTTTTGATGTGAGACGGCGTCTGACTTCGGAGAGATTACAGATCCTTGATCTTAAGGGGACCACAAAGACGGAACAGAACGACCTCCTCGACTCATTCCTCGCAATCACCAGTACAAAGACGGACCTCGAAAGCACATCGTTCCTGTCATCTCTTGACATGGATCCAGGTCAAGTGACATCGCTTGGAAGCCCTGCCGGTAGCCGGGTGTCTTTACTACCACGTACCGGCTCCGGAGAGGGCATTCTCGCTGCACTATCCTCTCCGCCTTTGAGCGCTTCAGGCACAGAAGTCCCACCCAAGGTGGATCAGACGATAAAGAGAGAGGTCTTTTCGGATTTCAAGCGTTTCGTGAGCTTTGGGTTGAGGAGGGAAACCCTACCGCCGTCGTGATCTGCGTGTGAGGTGCTGCTTGTATTGCATGCTGTAGAGGCTGTAGTCAACTGCATTCACAAGGCCTGCCGTTTGCAGTCAGCAAGTCCTCCGCGGCAACGGGTATACCCAAACGACAGAAATGTTGGTTATATAAAACATAACCTAATGCCATAGTGTCGCGGCAGTCAAATCGCATAGGTACGTTAGCGAAACATCTATTCCTCCATCGCGTCAGACGGTGGCTCGATCGCCTGCTCCTTCCATGTCTCGCTCCATTTAGGGTAGACGCGTTTGTATAATGACAGACAAACTGTATCCATCTGGCTGACGGGCCCGTCGAAGTGGGCTTTAAAGTAGCCATGTGTTCCGAGCGACTCGCGTATGTGCCCTGTCCGACCGTATTTCGTATGCAACTGAATGGGTTTGAAGTAATCGACGTCGTCTGCAAAGCGAAAAATCGGTATTTGCTAAATCGACATTGCAAGTGCAGTTACGTACCGGGATTGAAGAACATATAACGGACAGTGGCAGTCTTTTTATGCACCTTGAATAGATGGCCGGTCAGTATGACACGCTTTGCTATGATACGTGCTGTATCTGGGTTGAGGAAGGCGCCCATTGCTACCAACTCCGGAGCTTCGGAAAAAAAATGGATAAGCCCACGGCTCAAGATGGGAAGAGGACGTACAAGCTCACCCTGTGGATCCTCAGTTTCCTTGAGGAGCACGCATGGCTGCTTGCCGAAAATAACTGGCCCATAGGTCGTGGCGACGTTCGTCACTCCATGTCGGAGATACCGCTCAAACTTGTGTACGTTGTTCACGCCCTTTCCACCTCCTCGGGTGTGTTGACTGTATATCGGGTTGACCCGCAACCTTTGAGGGCCTATGCAGAGAATCAACGGATCCTAGGCAAGTTTCCGATGAGCAAACCTTTCATGATTGACATCCAAGGGAAAGCACCTTCGAACGAACGGATCCGTTATATTCTGTGTTTCGCTGTACAATGAAATTCAGGACAGTCTTCTTGTGTTCATGCTGCATAAGACCGAACAGGACGAGGGGCGCGCTCTGGTTTTGTGTCATGGCTTCCCGAGGAACATTTTTGAGGTACACCGTGACGCGCATCCCAGGCTGTTATACATGTTCCGTTAGCGAACGATACAGGGGCCCCGCAATCCGCTCTGCTTACCTCAATGCCATAGCTATCCTGTTCTATGCGCCTTCTCACCGTTCTCTCGGTGCGTTTGTAATCCTCAAATTGGAATATTCGTGCGTAATCCCGTGGAAGGTTCTCATACGGATCCCAAGGACTTGTACGGAACGATCGTAGACCGCGGAAGCGCTGGAAACGCGTCCGTGCAGCGATGTCAAGCGGCGTGTCGATTTCGTCAGGAAAGGCCGCGTCGTCCTCTTCTTCCCGTTTACGTTCTCTCCAAGATACAAGCCTGCAAAAAACTAATGAGCACGCTTACGAGAGAAGAACGAGGCACCACTGCACTCACTGTCGACTTTCCTCCTCCGCATCCAGGTCCTGGAACGCGACACTCCGCCGGCTCTCTGTATCCAGTTCGTTATCGTCCACAAGCATTTCAACCATTTCCTCCTTCTCCTCCTGCAAATCTACCTCACCGTGCTCAGAATCATTCTCGTCTTTCTGCTCGCTTTCCTGTTCACCATCAACATCGTCATCGTCATCATCGACGATCCAAGCCGCCTGATATTCGCTCATTCCCTTGGGAATCTTGCGCACATGCTTGGGCGTCGTGCCCTTCTCAGCCTTAGGAATAGCCTCGGGAGGGTCGAACCCATTGAAAGCACCGCGCATCTCCTCTTCCGTGGGCCATGTTTGTTCATTCGCCATATCGTCAGGGTCATTGCTCGATACCAGCGAGTCTGCAGAAGAGGAATCGGGCTCCGCGAGTAAGATGGGCTCCACATCCATCCCCTCAGCGTGATCCGATTTTACGCGCCGTGGAAGATCGGCAGACATGATCTGTTTATAATGTGTTTGCAAACAAGGCGGAGAAAGCATGGCATTGAATACGCACCCGTGATATTTGAAAGTCGCCATGATTTGGCAAATGGACAAGACGGTTGGCAGACAGCGCCGCGCCTCTCACTACACCAGTGACCGCGAGTGTGCCATCCTGCCACTCAACCCTCTCACTGAGGATCCAGGTTCGATCTTCCCTCCACTTCACATCTCCCGGCTTGCCCTCACACAGCTCCCGCATCGCGTTCAAAGTATCGGGACTTGAGTGCATGTCGTAGACTCTGGATTGATTCGGCACAAAATATTGGATGAACGACAGGAGAGACTTCAATATACTCGTTTTCTCCTTAGGATCCATGGGAGAGCTCGACGATACGACCGAAACGACTTCGGGTAGGCCTTGTGCTTGCAGAGTTCGAAGCAGCGTGTCGCCCCAAGTGTCGACCTCAACCTCGGACGACAGAACGAAGAGAACATAGTCGGCCGCTTTGCATGCATCAAGAGTAGCATAGAGGCGCTTATAAGGCAGAGAGATGAATTGCACAGACGTTTTGAACCGTTCTGCTCTGCAAGAAGTCTGTTCATTCCTGATAATTTCCAGGGAAGGGACATGATTGCTCACCTGATCTTGCACAGTCCCTCGCTCACATCGTCTGCAGAGGGGTCGAGAGATCTTGCGAGCGCAGAAGCTACAGAATGCGATGAAACATCTTCTGTGAGAGGAACGATGGCAACAATCCGCGGTGCTCCGTCTACACCGTTGAATATGCGCGTCGCTGAGATCAAAGCTTGGCGCTTCCTGACCTGCACTTGCTTCGCATTGTTACGTCGTTCTAGACGAGACCGCGCCGCTGTATTGGAAGCAACAGTTGCTTTCTGAGATTTTCGAGCATAGCGACCTATTCTTCGTCAGTAACGTAAGCCACGACTCCATTTAGAGCGGACTCGCCTTTGGCAGCCTCTTTTAACGAGCTTTTGGTGGAGTGTTTGCTTTTGAAGGCTTTGTTTTGCTACATTTTATAATGAACTGGAATACAGGGATTATTCTGAGATCGCGTTACCTGCTTGAGCGTCGGCCTATGGTGGTGAACGCCCTCCGTCATGGTTCCAATGTCTCGACAATCAACGGGCAGACCCGAGGAGAGCAACTTGTTTCTTGGTCAAGCCAAGGATATACTTTCGGACACAAAACGTCAAGTGATGTGAAAGAAGGACGGAAAGCTGCAGACTAAGTCGAGAAAAGCGAAACCAAGCAGAATCCGAGGTGTAGGATGATCGCCACTGACAAGCTGCGACTGGAAGGAAATTTGGGAACGCCGGCAGCTGATTGGCTGCAATGAGCGCTTCTCGCTAGGGCTCTTCCTTCGTCGGTGTGTTGAGTTTCTCTTCTTTCTTCTTGTTGGGCCCTGTCGACGTCGAACCGTTGGACTTTACGTCTACCATAGTTTTAGGTGCGTGTTCAGATTATCTCCTAATAAATCCACTGGTCAATATTCACGGTTAAAGTGGGCTCGCCGCTCGTCGGATTGTATGCAATTATTCTGTGCTTATGAAGCGCAGCGTCATATGTGCATAATCGCGCCAACAATGCTGGTTGCGAATGAACAATGTACATTGTGGCTCCGATATTCACATCAGTGCTTTACACTGCAAACATACACAACGTAATATACATGGTGTTTAAAATCTTGTACAGGCTGATGATCAGTTCGGCTCCGGAGGACTGATGACTACTTCTTTGCAATAGGCGAGTGCGCTCTTCCACAGCGTACTGTTGGCCTGCAAGGTATGGCGATGGCCTACGATAATCAAACCCAGCTTCGGACGTGTCCAGGCGACGTTCAGTCGCCTTTCGTCCTCCAAAAATCCAATATCTCCTTCCATGTTCGAACGCACGGTAGAGAACACGACAATGTCTGCCTCGCGTCCCTGGAAACCATCGATCGTGCTTACCACCACGTTCATGGAGGAAGATATCGTTTGTTTTAACATCTGCACCTGTCGGGAGTAAGGCGTTAGGACAGCGATTGAGACGCCTTGCACACGGGCAGTCTCCTCTGCGACCTCATTACCACGCGCAGCCCTGAGCAGCCCAAGGATGTATTTAGCGAGCTCGACTTGGCCTGAGTTGCCTTTCGACGATCTGCCGTGATCTTCCTCGGCTGCGCAAGGAACGAATACTACCGGGAATATTCTTGACTGTTCAGTAGGCCAAGGGAAGATGGAGGACCCCAGCGTCATCCGAATCTCATCTTCTCTCGGAGTGCCCGTCCGCAATCTGCCTTGGTAGAACTGCTGGGATGGAAAGTGTGCCAGATCAGCGGAGAACCTATATTGAACCTGGCGAAATGTCAGGGATCGCTATCCAAAGAACTGCATGGGATCTTACATCCAGCATAGTTCTAGTCATTCGAGCGTAAGCCGGGCCGGTATACAGACGTTCAAAAAGGGAGCGATCAAACTCCAATGCCTTTGCCATGGGACGGACCGTCGGACGAAGCTGGACACTGGATAAATGTCGATGATGGTCGGTCATGGCTTGGCAATTGCAACACAATCCGTTAGGTGCACTCACTGGTCACCAACCAGAACTGCGCGCTGACAACCTTTCACTAGTGGGATCAAGGCACAGGGCTCAGTGATCTGCGATGCTTCATCAATCAACACGATCTCAAAGTCCATGTTCCGCAAGACGCCCAATCCCGCGCCACTGCAAGTGGTGAAGACAATGCTTGCTTCTTTGGCTCTCTGTTGTGCCTTCTGCATCAGACGCGGATTTTCGTTCATGCTACCCCCTACGCGAGCGTCGATCGTGAACTTTTGCAAGGCCTTGTTGACCTTCGAGCTCTCTGTGGCCACCCGCAATATCTGGTCCTGCGCGAGTAGCCCATTGGCCCCGTTTTCAACGAGGAATCGTTCAAGTACATTATCCACAGCTGTCCACATGATCAAAATTGCCCGTGGCGATTTGACTGTTTTCTACATACCGTTGTGTGTGGACGCCGTCATCAGTATTTTCGTGCCAGGACTACTTTTGATGAAGTGTATCAAGATCTGAACGACCACTGTGGTCTTTCCCGTCCCTACAGAGAACGTGAGATACATTAGAGCCGTATGGGCACACCAACTCACCGGGAGGACCCCATATCAATGCCAGCGTGCTGCTTCCCGCAGCGCGTACAGCAGCCTTCTGACTGTCATTCAATGAAGGGAGGTCTTCATCGAGTCCATCGGCAGTGGTCTGCTCTTCGGTAGCAGGATCCAGGACAGCCTCATCACCTGCTATGATGTCACTGAACGAGCAACACTCAGATCCTTCGGTAGCAAGCCTCAAAACGGCATCCATCATTGCTTTCGAGGTCGCGATACTTCCAGCGTCATATAGGTACCAGTCGACTCTTTGGTACTCTGGTGGTAGCGGGTGTTTCAACTCGAGAAATAACTCTCCTTTCCCTGCACGCAGGACCACCCCGTCAAGGACAGTCGTGCCGAGTGCGAGCAGGTCTGATCCATCGACGGGTGATGCAAGTCGGAGACGAATATGAGAATGAATGCGAATATTTGTCTGAGCATCGACACGGATATGAGCCATCACGTGTGTTGGATACTTGTCCTCACTGCCGGCAACTTCTTCCTCTTGGTCCCTCTTCGGAGCAACCAATCTTGCATGCACAGGAGCTACACGCTGCCGCTTTGGTCGTCCAGCATCATCGCAAGGGCAAGCATCTGCAGCTTCTTCGGCTCTGTCGAACGCGACACCCAACAGATATTTATGAGCATATTCATACGTCTTGTTCTGTGTCTTGCCGGTTCGGCTATCATGCAGAACAAGCAGTAATTCTTGTACGAGAGTAGATGGTCGCACGCTAAGCGCGACCCACCAGAGAGTATCGAAATAAGTGGTAAGATCGAGGGAATCAGTCGCTGAGGCAAGTCTCTCCAGGGCCGCTAACGAAGCGATGCCGAGCGTATTGGCAGATCGCACGATCCCGCGCAAGATGGTAGGACCAAGCGGCGCAGCTACAGGAGGAAGCAGAGCAGGGCCATCGGGGAGGTATTTCTTCAGGACGGAGTAGGCAAGAAACGCATGCTGATCAATGCAATCAGTTATCCGAACTTCAGGTAGAGGTTCCATCTTGAGGAGAGTCTCGAATATCCAGAAGAGCCTATCCTCTGCGCGATTTGCGATGGCGATGTGGAAATACTTCTGCAGAAGCTCAACCTCCATGGATGCAAGAACATCCTCCGCATCCTGCTTTGTGCCAGCGAACAAGCGTCCGCCTGTTTCGTCGTCTGTCCAATCAAGATCACGGATGCTATTAGGCGTGAATTGCTGAGGCTTGTGGTCAAATCTACGCATGAATTCTTCGGTCGGCACCCTAAAGGTCGAATTAATAAAGGCATTGCATCAGCATCGAATGCATTGCAATCTCACTGTTCATAACGTAGATCGAAGGCCTGGCATGCGACGCGGTCTCGATTCGAAACGACATGAATCTCAATTGCTACAACAGGTGTACGATAGATGCGGCCGCATTGCTGTGGATGTCCAGTGGCTCTAAGAGCTGCAGAGAACGCAAAGATATTGTGAGACGTACCTTCTGGACTCGTCCAGAAATCTTTTGCAATGCGATGCTTGTGACGATGTCTACGTCTGACTTTATGGGTGGTCTATTGACGAAAATGAATGTATTGCCCCTCTGTTGGTCATATAATTGCATGAGATTGTCACTGCAGTGAAGCCTGTATCCCTTCGTTCCCCGCCAGTACGTCGACGACACCTCAGAGGCGATGGGCATGAATGGGCAGACCAGGACGTTGTCGTTTATTTCGGGCTGAATGAACCAGCGTAGCGCATCAAAATTTATTTGCCTTAGGTGTGAAACGACTCTATAGCATACCTCTTCATCCCATGGGATCGGTCCCCGGAGAAAAATACCCACTGAAAACCTATCGTCCGTCTACAGACGATAAACGTGAGTAACAGTGTTCATAATTGATGGCTCACACAGACCTTCAGGATCATTAGTCGGCGATTGTATTGCTGTGTGGCATCCTTCAAGTATTCGAAGAAAGCGGCGCGCCCTTGCTCCGATGAAGAGTATAGCTTCTGCAACCGCAGTGGTCCCCCAAGATCGCGAGTAGATAGGTCACGAGAGCGCAGAATCTCAGAGCGTATGAGACTGATGAAGCGGCTGAATGAGACCTTCCGTCCATGGTATGGTGCTACCGACATGCACGTACCTGTTCCATATATACGGATCGTGTTCCGGAGTCAAGCCTAGCTGTAGGCTGAGTGCATGCTTCTCCGAAGTCGCCAATGCTCCAAAGTCGATGTGACATAAGTAAGGTCTCAAACTGATGCCATTTCTTCGCGCGAACGCAGCTGCCATAGTCACAACCTCGCATTCCGATAGCGCCGTCTTTTCGGTAGATAGAAATCGTGCGAGAACTTCGCCCGCTGCTTCCGGAGACAAGGTCTGTGCCTCCAGAGCATCAGGTTCCGACTGTATGTATGTCTCAAAAAACCTCTTCGCAGAATCCTGCAACAGATCGATGACATATGGAGAGTCGGGCTCTGGAGGCGAACGCAGACGCTCCGGTATCTTGACAGACGCGCCATCGACGGCCTGGGAGTGCAATGCGTTGAGATCTTGGCACTCGTCGCTCATGGCCCCTTTTGGACTAGATCGAACCCACTTCGCGTGAAGACTAGTGATGGTGCCGAGCGCCATGCTAGATTGCAGGCATCAACAGCAATGTTAGAACCTACAGAAAAGCTACGTACGTATTGTACGAAGCAAAATGCTTCGCAAGGTCTTCCCTGGAAACCTGAACACTCACGCGTTCCTTGGCCGGAGGATACGTGTATGACTAACCAGTAATGTTGTATTAGCCTGCTAACGGACGCAATTCACTAGCATGGGCATTACCTCTGCAACCTTCTTTGGAACCAGATCGGGATCCCATATCACAAGGAATTTGTCGCCATCTTAAAGCATGCGGTCAGATGCACGTAACAGTGTCAGAGAAAAGATAGCATCACCTAAATCTCCTCCGGAGCTCATTGAAGGAGCCGCACGCCTACCTCTGGAAGCGAAGACAACACAGTCCACGAGATGGGACAGGCGAGGATGATCGACAGTGCGGAGCTTTAAACAGTCTCCTGGATGAAGGCAAGGATTGCGCACGACCATGACATCTGTATTTGTCAAGGTTGATGCTCCCCGGCGAGGGACTGATACCCGCACATGCACCTCCCCTTCATCCAAGACGCCGTAGGGATCGCAGACACCAAAGAGTAGACGAGATTTGAGAACAACCATTCTTGAGCGATACTTTTCGTTCTTCTTGAATGCCGCAAGCTCAGACATTTGGGATGAGCGGATCTTTGCCTTCACTTCGGCCGACTCTATTCCGTCAAGAAGGAGACGTTCAGCCGTGCCATAGTGCCCCAAAGCGCAGAGGAAATTAAAGGCAACTTCCCAGTCGTTGGATGCGGCGCGAATCCAGTGATGGTATGCCTCCTGCTTAGCCAGAAAGGTTTCGGAGGTGATACCAAGACTGGCCATGAGGACAATGACATCGTTATTCAAACGTCCGAATGCATAAGGCGTCGAGTGGTCGACTACAGAGAACGTGTTATCTTGTGTAGCAATGAACTTCCTTTGACTTGCTCGGAATTGAACGTGATAGTTCTCGGCCAGTTCCGGGTGTAACATCAATACGCCCTTTGTAGACATAGACAGCGTCAGTACTGATGACCACCTTTCTCTACGCTGTCAAATCGAGGTCACCTTGTATCCTCTATAACTTTAAACCACCAAACTCAGACAATGGAACGCTCTCAGCGCTAAAACTAACGTACCGAATCTGGAAGATGCAAGGTGTATACGGTCGACCATGATATATGTATCGTTTGTGGCGACTGAGCTGGACAGCGAAGCGCTTCGACATGAGACCGCAACCATCGGAAAATGTTTCTCCGTTGATTACGATATCATCGATATCTTGCGTCCAGCGGGGATCCAGGTTCCAGTCCAATTCAGCTTTGGAAAACAGAAGGCCTATCCTTTTAGCACCTGTTAAGGGACGGTCAAAATCGAAACCATGCAAGAAAAGCATGCCTCCATTCTCACGTTTGGCGACATTCATGATCTTTTTAAAGTCCCCGAAAGCATAGAGGCGATCATTCAGCTCTTGATCTGTATTGGCCTCGCGTAGAAAACAACTGCGCGATCTCTGCATGGAGGCTTGAGTTAATGAGTATAGAAGAATGATATGTTAGCTCACCAGTTGCGAATTGCTATGTCCATAGAATCGGTACTGTACTCCATTGAGGAACAACCCCGCTTTGAAAAGTCTAATCAAATAATCTCGTGTTGCAGAAAAGGGTGTGTCCGGGAATCTTAAGCTCTCAAATGACACCAAGACAAACTTGGAGATATCATCTGCGCGTAAGATGCGATTTGCGGGGAATTGCGTGATGTCGAGTTTGATGGCTTGAGGAGAGAAGAGGATATGTTTGCCATATCCTGGACGTATAGTGGTTGGCATGACAGCAATGAAATTCCACGAGTCGTCATCTGGCCTGGGATTCTCTCGAAGGACGATAGGCCTCATCGCTGGCAAGGGGCAAATGTATGCAGCAGGGATCGGATCTCCGTCCAAGACAGGCCTTTATAAGACCAACCTTCGCAGAGCCCAGAGCGTGGAAGCCCTACTTTCACCGCGCATGTGCCGTGGATGGACGTCTGATTCTGAACCCTATCGTGCTTTGGTACAAGGAAGCCGGCGCAATGATAGGATCAGCCTGGGAATTGCAAGGCACGCATGAGCTAAACGAGTACATGCACTTCAATCGCTGGGATTGGCCATATCTCAAGTATTCAGGTGAGTCGTCAAATGCAGGCCGTCGGCGACGTGATCTTGGACGTTCAACAGAATGGCCGAATCGCACGACGTCGAGGTACCAATCGCAGCTCCCGCAGACAGAAGCAGAGGAGCAGATCTGGGCTGCAGTAAAAGCGGCATCACTGGAGGCTCCTACGAAGCAATCTTCGTCCTTGGCCCTTCTTCAAGTGGCAAGACAACGCTGTGCGAGGCTTTGGCGAAGGACCTAGAGATCGATCCCTCCTGTTACATCAAAGAAGTTGCCAGAACAGTCATGAGAGCTCAGGGATTTACGAGGGCAGATACCGACACATACGAGATGCAATATGCAATAATGTCCGCACAGTTGAGGACGGAGGAGGAGGTCATAGGGCGCATGGGAGGCAGTAACGCAGTCAGACTGTTGAGCGATCGTTCTGCAATAGACCCGATCGTCTATGCATCTACTTCGACGGTGTCAGGCGCTTTGGAGAGGCGTCAGAGGTTGCTGGCGGATTCTTCGCTGCACGCAATCCTGCCCTTCTACAGAGATTCACTGTTTGGTGAGTCAAATCGATGCGTCTTTGTTCGGACAATTCAATGACCGGCATCCCAAGTCGTTCTCCAGCCTGTTAGAGAGTGGATGATCGACGATGGGGTGCGCTCATTGGAAGACCCGTGGATATACTTGCAAACACTACATGCGACACTCGACGAACTGAAAATACCTTACATCGTGATCGGAGAGGATACGAGGGACATAAACCATAGAGTTGGATTGGTGAGACATTATCTGAAAAATTCCCACTCTACTCCAGCACAATGACCGTCGGCGGAAGTGCAAGCTTCCATGACTGCCTACGTAGACAGACCAATTACAATCAATAATGTCCTCGGTAAAAACGTGAGCTGAGCGTTTGACGGTGTTGAATGAGATGTCGGTTCGGACGTGGGATGATCAAAAACCGGAAGGCTAATCACCCAGAAGTTGACGTTGAGCAATCGCACGTCAGAGCTGACTACTATTCATCATACAGAGAGTGCGTCCCTTCGGTTATTGCGATATTTGATGAGGAACAGAGATTTCGATTGTACAAGCCCAGAGAGATTTCAGGATGCTCTTGTTTCTATGCAGTTTCCCTTCAAGAATCGAGGTCGACTTTTCTCGTCTTCACTAAAGAATCTCACCGAATGAGAATGATACCATTACTGTAGCAGTGAAACAGTCAAATGGCTCACCTCGGCGGCGCCGGATTTGACAAATACCGCCTCGTTCATACGAAGTGAGAAGACTCAAAGTTTACTGAATCGAAGGTGTCAGACTGCAAGCTACGAGACGTACAGCGGCATGTGCGTTTGTGAATAAATGATTTGTCAGTCAAGTGTGAGCGTGCAGAGGAAGTGAAGCGCCGTCGGCTCCCTACTTGAGCGCTAGCCAGGCCGCTGGCTCGTCCGCCGCTATAAACCAGCTGAGGATGACGAATGCCATATACAACTATTTATGCACGGGTGATGTATTTGAGAAAGTTATGATAGGATGCGGTATATGCAAGGAATTGTTCATCAGCTACGATGTGCAGCGAGTTCTCCAAAATCCGTGTAGTGGTACATGATTCGTTCAACAGTGTTAATACAATGTAGATGCAGAAAAATGCAAACGGAGCCGCATTGTGGTAGTTGTCGTTATTCACTATTCGTGCTATTCTAGCTCGTGGAGGAATGCTAACCAAGCTTTCTTGTCAATCACGCCCTCGTCTGACATATTCCTCGATGAGCGTGAATACCGTACTAGGAGGGTTTCACTCACAATATCCGTCGGTGTCAATGACTACGACGTATCTAGCACCCAGCTTGGTGAAGAACTGCTGCGCCAACTCGAGAGGGGAATTCGATTGGATAGTCAAGGGTGCCTAATGGCGGCATACCCTCAGCCCTATACAGCGCGGTTGGCAAAGCATGAATCCTACCTTATCCATGTAAGGGCTGAAGTCAAAGGGATCGATGTCCACCATATAGGAGCCAGTCTCTGCCAGAGAGGACGTCGAAGAGGTCATCCGTCTCCCATGCGTATATGTGTTGTTGGGATGGAAGAACACTCTCTCGTCTGCATTATCAGCAACAATGCCTGTATTTTGCCCGAATTGTAAACCTTTACAATCAGTTGACAGTGCATAAGGGCTTACTGAGTGCGTGCTCCAGCTCGTTCGCGCCGATATAACCAACCATTCGCTTCTTAACGCCGACGTTCCTCAGGATAGGAAAACCACTATCGGAGTTGCCATTTACGAGGAGACGCTGTAATTGATCTCGCAGGCTCTTGACCGTGTTCTCGTGGTCAACGCAAATCGTATCGACTTCGCGACCCATCTACACTGGAAACCTCAGTGGCCAATTCATGGCCAGCGCCAGCCATCACTTACAACGTCATCAATCTGGTGATTGTCCCAAACGTAATTGAGTTTCGCATCAAGGTACGGCAATTGCGAGAGCCTGAAAAGTTAATGAGCATCTTTGCGATATGATCGCCGAAGCGGACACACTCAATGACAACGTCATAGATTCCCTTCGGTTCTAAAGCATCGGCCACAGTCTTCGCAACGAGCACGGACAACATTACTGGAACAGCATACGTCAACGTGTCCGTGAGCTCAAACATGATGACAGCCAGGGAGACTGTCGTGCGCTGTGCGATATAAGCGTGAATGCAGAGATCCGACGTTGACGTTACCCGTTACGCACTGTTACTCCGGAGAGTGAGGCGGCTGCGCCGACCATGGCGTACAATCCCGGGATCACACAGTCGAGGTCGCCTTTGCATGACGCGAATATCGTGCTATCTGGATTTGAGTACTGCAACCACTGGACTAATATGCCGACAATACGACCAGCGCATGCTCCGACTGCATGGGATGAGTAGTTGTCCATTGGTCATTAACACATCACCCACCTGCGAGAGACGGAATGAAGATGCCGGCGGGCAGCTTGATGCCGAAAGTGACGATAGTCAGCGCGCCCTTTACAACTAGAGCGACGAGGATAGCGCGTATGACCGGCATAGCCTGCTCCGGAGGATCGAGCACGCAAAGGCCTAACTGAGCATTGGGGTCACCAGACCGACACTCTGCAAAGAGGTTATACACGAGCTCCGTGGTACCCATGCGAGTGAACACGTTGAGAAAGCAGAACACTGTTGTCGCTAGAGTGACCTGTGTCCATCAAGCATCAAATTGACATGATCTTGATATTAGTCCGACTTCGGGCTTACGAGGACCACTTCTGCAACAGGATGGGTCTTCAGCCACGTCCCACTTCGAACATGTTTGCTCCAGCGGTAGTTGAGCTTCGAGAAGTAGGCTCCCCAAACTCCCTACATGTCAGAGTCAGATTGTTGAAGTCATTCCATTTGAAACAATCACATACCCCAAAAACCCCGAGTAAGAGGAAGAATATAAGCTCATATGCATGCCAATCCTGAAATCTATGATCAGACTGTGTTATCTCAAAATAATTCATCGCTCACCTTCTCGTAGGTAACCTGTAACAACACCAGTTTCCCACTGCCAAACGGGTCCAAGAACTTGAGTGTCATCGCAGCCACCATGGCACAGAAGAAACTAGGGCTTGCTTTTGAGTACCGAGGCTATTGCCTTACAACGGTCCTACCTTCGCCACATGACCTTTGCCGGGAAGAAATACGAAACCTCCTCCAAACTGAACAGAACGCCACCAATTGGGGCACCGAAAGCCACAGCGACACCGGCTGCACTGGCAGCACTTAAAATCTCGCGTCTCTTCCCTATCGTGTACAGCATCCATGAACCGTCCAGACGAGGATAACGGATAATAAACCTTCATTATTCTCATATTTGCTGAAGAACCTGCTGACGATGTTTCCGATGCATGACGCAATATGAACGAATGGCCCTTCCTTGCCCAAGGAGAGGCCCGACGCAACGGAGAGTGCAAGACCAACCGCCTTGGTGAACAAAGTACGTCCTCCGAGATAGCCATGAATGACGAAACCTGCAATCGGGCAAATGAGCATTGCCGTGTCCCGTGTGCACGACGGAGACTTACCGGATAGAATTGTCTTAATCTCCGGTATTCCACTTCCAGCAGCCTGTAAAATCATAAGCGATCATCATTTACGTAAACTCGCGTAAAAAGAAGCATGGATCCTTGTGGTATTTCGAGCAACTTCTCCCGCGACATGCTCTCGCTCTACGCCCGCCTCAGCGCACAAAATGACACCTACGTAGTACATTACTTTCCGTTTAGGTTCCGTCTCCGTCAGTATTTGTGCGACCTTTTGATCCTCATCTGGGTCAGTAAATTCTGGAGAAAGCACTCCAGAGTCCTTCCATGTTGTAAAACTGGTAGATGTTGTGAGATGTATTGTTAACAAAGATGACACGACGGCCAGTGTCAACTAAGGTTGCTGAGCAGTCAGATCCATGCCCTAGCATATAAAGCAAGGGGATGGTACCGACCGCGATGATAGCATACGCGATATATTCAACCATTTCCGCTTCAAATCCTATCCATTCTCCTTTCTCTTCCAGTGTTTCCCCGAAGATATCAGCCCATGTACGCCAAGAGGGACAGGATCCCTTCGCTGAGTATGTGAGGAAGGGCATATGCAAGCTACGGATTGAATCATCCTCCATTGCACAACAGAACCGCTTCGCCTTCTTCCAGTCATCATGACAGTATCCTTCCTTGAGATCGAATAGCCACTGCTCGCTGCGCACAATCAGGAAGGCGATAACCGCCGTAAGGAAGCCGACAATGGTCACGATGATCCAACCGATGCCCCTGTCCAGCTGGCGCAGCATCCTGCCCCGGAGCGACTTGTGCTTGCGCAGGTGCGACTGTCGAGCAGAGTCTTTGATGACGTCATGGAGCCAATCGATGGAGGTAAAGGACGAGTACCAGACTCGGATGCCGTTGGTCTTCACATCCACTATCGGCTCTGCAGAGTCAATGTCATCCTTGAGTAGGTCGTAAGCTGATATGGGGCGCTGGCCCGGGACGTAGGAGTCTCTGATAGAGAAGTAGGAACGCGGCGATCCTGGTGTCGACCTCGACTTGAAGTGAAGAGGTATCCGGAGGCCATGAAGTGGGCGTAGGCCATGACGCAGGGTAAATGTGGACTTGGACTTGCTCCTCTCGGAGTGGCCGAGGTTGGGAAGCGTGCCATACGATGTGGCACACTCCGGCGGATCCGCGCGGAGGGCAGATGTCTCGTCTGCCTCGTGCACATCATTGCCTATTCGGAGGAGTCGTTGACGACGCCAAACAGGATCAGACGGTCCACTTAGAGGACCAGGAGGGATTTCCTCCGTGTGGGACGATAGCGCAGGATTTGAAATGCTCTTTCCCAAACGCATGGTTTGACATGTGCACCCCGCAGAAATAATGGTATGGCAGCGATGGATAAGTTGAGCACAGCAGCGGGATCCAAATAGTGGCGCAGGGTACAGTGACTGTCGAGCTTCTACTATGGAAGAAAGCGAAAGCGCGATGCGCAGACTCCGAGAATGAGGAGCTGAAATGCTGAGTGCCGTACAGGACAATTAACAGTCAATATGAACCTTGTTATCACGTTACGCTGCAGACTCACTTCTATACGAGGTGAGAATGTACGCTGAATGTACTGAAAGTACTCCCAACGGTCGAACTTAGCAGTGTGCTCGTCTTCTGCGCAACGCAACGGTGCAACGAGCTTCGAGAAGTTGCCCGGCCGAGGAAGCTCAAAATAGTTCTGATCGCATCTTATCTTATCTTGTAAGAGATTCTCGAGAGTTTTTGGCCGGTAACTTCACATAGTAAGCACTGGCGCTTATTGCCACTTGCTTCATCCGAACCGCGTTCTCGTCGTGCTCCCCTCTTCCACTCAAAAATGACTACCGCAGGTCTCGGAGTGCCCGTCAAGCTACTACATGAATCCCTTGGGCACATTATCACTGTTGAACTCAAGACGGGCCAGCTATATCGCGGCAAGCTCGCTGAAGGTACGTCTATACCTGCCGCGTACTCGTTGCGCTAACGCACTAATCCTGTCTTCGCCACAACGCAGCCGAGGACAACTTGAACATCTCTTTGAAGGACATCACGGTTACCGGGCGAGATGGTCGTGTGTCGCAGCTTGACCAGGTGTACATTAGGGGAAGTATGATCCGCTTCTTCATTGTCCCAGACATGTTGCAGAACGCGCCGATGTGAGTCGTCGTTCTTTACCTTGGGATTCCTTCTCACCTTTTACTTTACCTTAGGTTCAAGCGTGTTGGCCCGAATGCGATGAGGGGAAGAGGTATCGGTACGGCACGTGGGAGGGCAACCATCATGCGAGGTACGTGTCATGTTCTTTGTAGTTTGCTCGTAGAACTGATGGTCATTCTTTCATACAGCCAACGGTGCGTCATGCGTTCTTCGTATTACTCATAACAAGCTGCTGACAGCCGTGCTCTCTAGCTCGTCGTGGTCGTGGCGTACCAGCTGCACGCGGCATCAGGCGATGAAGCTGACCCGTTTGCTGCTTCCCGTTTCACGCAAAATTTGTTCGTTTGCTGTGTCCGTAGCATTGTTCTTCTGTTTTTCTTTCTCTGCGTAATGTATAGCGTGATGCAACAGTGCACCAGCCCAGCGTCTCGCCGGTGCGAAACAACATGCACCACTGAGGTCACTTGCCGGATACAGACATTCTTCCAGCATGGCTTTATCGGTATAACTGTGATACACCATACGGCCTTGCAGTCTTGATTGGTCTCTACTGTATCACCTTTGAGATTTCTGATTATGATGCCGTGATGTAGATGAGCACTCAGCACAGGCTGTTGCACGCCATCTGCGAAAAGGAACGCCACCAGAAAGAATACAAGTCATTACACATGTGCGCAAACAGCATGCAAATCGGCGGCAAAGTAGAATGTCCATATCATGCCACTTGCAAATCGACATCTAATCACTATATCTATATCGAAACACGAGATTTCGTGAGATCTTATGAGTTTGGGCGATGTCACCCGCAGAATCATTCTAACGCGCACCGAACTTCATGTCTCCTCCAACCTCTCATTCCCTCTGAAGACCACATGCCCCTTTCGCTGGAATAGAGGCGGTAGCCGCGGTTCGACCGTTTTCTTCTTGTGCTTCTGCCTTCTCCTCCTCCGGACTATAGGCTTCCGCATGGTTCCAATGGCCTCAGCCGGCACGTGGGTAGCATCCACTTCCATCGGCGCATCATCTGTCGGTGCGCTCGACGTACTTGCAGATGGCTGTGCATCCGTTGTTGCTGGCAATGCACCCGTAGTCGATGGCGAAGCATCTGGGTCGAGGATTGGCGGCGCTGGTATACGCCTTGCGGCCGTGCACGATAAGCAGGTGTAAGAGATGAGATGGCCATGCGAGGGTGATGCTAGTGTTCAATCGTCAAACATGATATACAATGAATTGAGATGCTAATAATTACTCACACTTCACCCGCACCAACGCCGTTGTCCCAGGAATCAACAAACTATTGCACTTTTTGCACATCGTGCGCTTGACGTTCGGATCCCTGCAATAGCTCAGCAGGATGCACATGGAGAAGAGCGACGACGAAGCTCACATCTTCACCATCGTCTTCTGGCCGATGATCTTCATCGACTTGATATATTCCCTGGACAGCTCAACAGCAGTGTTTGGATGTCGTTGCTTCCTCCTAATTTCTTTCTTCTCAGCTTTCGAGGGCCCTTGTAAGGGTGATAGTTTTGACGGTCTGCCCCGGTCGATTGGCTTCGCGGTAGGGTCTTGTGAGATGGACTGAAGGTATGCGCTGGCTTGGTAGAGGAAATTCAATCGTTGCAGAATGTCTCTGTTTGCGACACCACTGAGAGACGGTGTCGAATCCTGGTCATTGTTTTTATTCTTCTTGGCCATGATGGTGTAGATATAGTAGACGTCGAACGCAACCTGCGAACGCGGCGCCACCGGCTTCCGGCCCGATGCCACCGTGTCTCTCACCTACGCCTGTTGGGCTCGACATCGTCCTGCGACATTCACTGGCACCAGCACTATATTCGCGTTGTTGCCTTCCCTTGTGCGGCATGTCCAAACCAGAGCAGAACTTCCCGAAACCAATGCTCATTGTTGTGATGGTCTGTTAACACTTATCGAACACTCCATGTTAGCCAGTTCTCATTCCGACTCATACTTCGCGCAATACAGGGCGTTGCAGCAACAGGAAAGACAACACTTGCCAAAGCACTATGCGAGAGACTAGACCTGCCGTATATCGAGGGTGACGACCTGCATCCACCGGAAAACATCAAGAAGATGTCCTCCGGTCAGCCGCTCACAGACGCCGACAGGGAACCGTGGCTCACTCTCCTGCGTACCAGCGCAGAGCATCTGATCGCCGAGCAGCAAAATGACCATACCCCGAATCCTACACCTGTCCCCGAACATGCCCAAGAACCATCTGAGACGGCCAGTTCCAAACCACACCGATACCGTGCAGGTGCAATCATCGCTTGCTCTGCACTCCGCAAATATTACCGCGATATTCTCCGAGGAAAGCTGCGTTCAAATCTGCCGAAGCCCCTGCACGAGCTCGAGCCGCCGCTGCCTCCGGAAGCCTTGCCGACGTATTTCGTCTTCATCAAGGGCGAGCGGGATCTGCTGCTGGCGAGGATCACAAGGAGACAAGGGCATTACATGAAGGCGAACATGGTGGACAGCCAGTTGCAGACACTTGAAAGTCCCGAGGGCGAGGAGGGCGTCATTGTGGTCGGTATGCAGCAGAGCATAGAGGAGAAGGTGAAGGTCGTGTTAAAGCAGTTGTCGGAGATGACAGGAGGGCTGTAGATCATAGAATATGCCTGAAAGGTAGATTGAACTAGAGAACTGAACTAGCGAGTGACCATTATTGCTGAAAGATGAGCTCGGAGGACCTTGTACACGACGGCCTAAAGGATATTGGCATCGGATAAGCCTACGCTCGCTACTATCAAAAGGAGAGAATGATATCGCACCCCGCATTAGAAACGCGAGCTGTCCATCCAAGGGCGTAAATAGGCGTCGTCGTCGAGAGCGAGGAGGAGAAGCAGCCTTCGAAACCGACCTGGGGCGCGTAAAGCGCGTCGGCAATCTCCGATCTCGATGGGAGTGCACGACACGTAACACGGACGCGTCAACCTGCGCAAGACCGCTCCTTCCCTCACCCCCCCTTCAGCACCATGGTACGTAAACTGCTTGCTATGCGCAAGCTTTAGCTAACAGAACCTACAGGCTAGACGTTATGACAGTGCGTCGATCGCATTGTGTGCGTACCAGGAGGCTCACTAACATTGCGCCCGACCAACAGGTCGCACCACGATCTTCTCGCCGGAAGGTAAGCAGCAGCGTTCATGACATCTTTGTGCATTTAAGTGACACATTCCCACTTAGGACGGTTATATCAAAGTAAGCTTGGCAGGACTTGTTCATGTAACACCACCCAACCATCCCGCTAGTCGAGTATGCTATGGAAGCCATCTCACACGCTGGTACTGTCCTCGGAGTTCTGGCAAAGGACGGTGTTGTACTTGCTGCCGAGAAGAAGGTGACAGGCAAGCTGCTCGACCTGACCAGCGCGAAGGAGGGAGGATACGGCGGGAGTGGAGAGAAGATCTTCTTGTTAAACTCGTACGTGCTCTGATCCTCGTCCGCCTGACTGTGTCCGACAGTAACACTGTCTCATACTTTGCGTTGCACGTAATACAGAAACGTGGTCGCTGGTGTGGCTGGAATAACAGCAGACGCGAACTCGCTTGTCAACTTTGCGCGACAAGCGGCACAGAAACATCTGTTCCTCTATAATGAAGACATCCCTGTAGAGCTTCTGGCACAGCGACTATGTGATCTCAAACAAGGTTACACACAATATGGAGGTACGCTCACCATAATAGCACTCATTTGATCCTATCATGGCATCGCGCTGATGCTGTTACAGGCCTGCGCCCATTTGGCGTCTCGCTCCTTTACGCGGGATATGACCCGCACTACGAATTCCAATTGTACCACTCAGATCCATCCGGAAATTATTCGGGCTGGAAGGCGACATGCATCGGCGCGAACAGTGGCACGGCGCAGAGTCTGTTGAAGCAAGAATACAACGAGGATATGGGCGTAGAAGATGCTGTAGGCTTGGTCCTGCGGGTGATGAGCAAGACGATGGACAGCACAACACTGGGCAGCGAGAAGCGTGAGTGTCATTTGCTACATGTGTCTTGGACGTCGCGACTGATGTTCTACTGCCCGAACGCAGTGGAGTTTGCAACGCTGACCGTCGACCCAATCACAAAGGCACCGAAGGCGAAGATATACAAGCCTGCGGAAATCGACGCTCTGCTGCAGAAGCATGACCTGGGGAAGAAGGACGAAGATGCGGAGATGAGGACGGTCTGATGGAAGGACGCCTCGCGGACCTATTATGTGATTGTTGTACATGATATCGTAGATGCAGCTGCTTCGTCACCGCATTCCGTTGCTAGTGCTGGACGCTCAGCCAGTCCGAAGTTATGTGAAAGGTGGAAGACCCTTCTGGCCATGGGTGAGCCGGGAGCAGAAAAGGCGCCCACACTAGACCCGTTTCCGGGTGCCTATACATAGCAGGTCTTCCATCCCGCACTCTCACCCCCGTCGTACAAGTACCAGGCACTCGCTGCGCGGCGCCCATCGCCTCGATTCCTCTCACAGCACCTCCCCGTTACCACCCAACAGCGACATCATGGACCACGGCGGACACGACATGCCCATGGGCCCCAAGTGCAGCATGAACATGCTGTGGAATACGCAGATCGAGGACACCTGCGTCGTCTTCCGCTCGTGGCACATCTCATCTAAGACGGCGTTCGCGTTCTCTTTCCTCGCCATCCTCGCTCTCGGCGTGCTGTACGAGTGGCTGCGCGTCGCGCAGCGCGACGTCGACCGGCTGATCGCGCGCCGGCTCCTCGCGGACGGCAAGGGCAAGGCGCGCGTGCCACGCAGTGGACGGAACACGCCCGAGAGCGACTCAGAGGGCGCAGGGTTGCTGACGGGCTTGCCGTCGACGAAGCCGATAGTTGGGTGAGCAACCGCTGATATGCATGCCTGAAGAAGAATGTTGACCGTTATGGCAGGACGCCTCTCCCGTTGCTGCCACGCATCATCCGAGCTGTCCTGTATGGTCTGACGGTCTTCCTATCGTTCTTCCTCATGCTCGTCTTCATGACGTACAATGTAAGCGTTACTCATATCATCATTTTATGAGGCACTCTAATGACCACTTTTCCTGCAGGCATACTTGATCATGGCTGTTGTCTTCGGCGCAGCCATCGGGCACTTCATCTTTGGTTCTCACATGGATATCAATGCTGCGCTGTCTGTGGCAGTGGATGGAAAAGGCATGGCTTGTCATTGACGGATTATGTAGGAAACAGGAATGTCCACGGCGCTCATCTATCAAACTACTTGGTTGTGTTTAGGCTATAGTTGTAGGCCAGCGGAGCTCACTATATCAGCTTGTTCACTTGCAGGTCATGAACAGCTGCTGTAGAATGCTATTCAATCAATTGTGCAGACGACGTAACCTTCGGACAGGTCCATCTGGATCTACGTTGGCCTTTCATTCCGGCCTATCAATAGGCTGACCGGGATTCTGCCTTAGTGTAGTGACTTGCGCTGCGTTGTACTTTTGTACCCTTCGTCTTGCTGCCTTGAGCCTTGTGTCTTCCATAGATTCTGTCATCTTAGGTTTTGCGTACTATGAGCTTTACCACTTTGACTTTCGTGCCTTGAGTCTTGATTCTTGCCATTCGATACCTTGCATCTGATGACTAGCAACTTGCATCTTCTCGTCTTGCATCTGCCTTCGTCCTTTCACTCGGCTGTTTTCGTTATCGCATCACATCTTGTTCCCGTTTTGTTCGCGCTGCTCCTTGCTTCTGTTATGAGCTTGCTTGACAATACGTCGTCATCGCACCTTGAGCTAAGTATCTTGCGCTTTCAGTTGCATGAACGCTGAATGCTATGCTTTATGGTCTCAGATGTTGCGTTATTCAGTCTTGTCATCTTGACTTTTGGTCGTGTCCTGCTTGGAGTCTTGGTCTCATGCCTCTTGGGCCTTGCGCCTTGAACGTTGTATCTTGAATAGGCTCATAAATCAGCCTTCGTACAGGAAGACGCACTCGTTCCTTATACTCAGGCTGAGATCGTAACTCGAGGTCCAAAGGGAAGACCCCCCGTGGGGAACGCGGAGTTTCAACGTGCCGACGGCAATTCGACGCTCGAAGCTTTGGCGCTGGTCGGACACACCACGTGATCGCGTTGTACAGAACGCGTCTGTAAAGG